ACACACACACACACACACACACACACACACACACACACACACACACACACACACACACACACACACACGGAAAATCCAGGGTAGTGCATATTGGCCTTGGTAGTGGTGGAGATTCTACTTGGGGAGGAGTTCGGATACCAACAGTGTCAAGACTGTCGGCTCTACTTGACTCTCTTCTCTAAGTGGTTATAAGTCAGTGAACCAGACTGACATTTCTTTTTCTTTTCTTTTTTTTTTTTTTTTTCTGGTAACAGTCTCGCTCTGTCGCCCAGGCCTGGAGTACAGTGGCACGAACTTGGCACACTGCAACCCCTGCCTCCCGGGGTCAAGCAATTCTCTTGTCTCAGCCTCCCAAGTAGCTGGGATTACAGGCACACGAACAGCTAATTTTTATATTTTTTAGTAGAGATGGAGTTTCACCAGGCTGGTCTTGAACTCCTGACCTCAGGTGATCCACCCACCTTGGCCTCCCAAAGTGCTAGGATTATAGGCATGAGTCATCGCACCTGGCCGACTGACATTTATTTTTCAAACATGAACATGGTATGTGTCTGATTTTCGGGTACATATAATTCTCATCTAAAATAATGAACATAGGTACAAAATGAGGTAGACCCACATCCTGTCTTCTGAGACAGCCTCAAGAACAGGAATAGTGGAGAGTTTGATACTGTAAAAGCCAGTGCCTTCATTTTCCTTTTCTTTTTTCTTTTTTTCTTGAGACAGAGTCTTGCTTTGTCACCCAGGCTGGAGTGCAGTGGTGCCATCTCTGCTCACTGCAACCTCCATCTCCCGGGTTCAAGTGATTCTCCTGCCTCAGTCTCCTGAGTAGGTGGGATTACAGGGAACTGCCACCATGCCCGGCTAGTTTTTGTATTTTTGGTGGGGGGCTGGTTTTCACCATAGTGGCCAGGCTGATCTCAAACTCCTGACCTCAAGTGATCTGACCGCCTCGGCCTCTCAAAGTGCTGGGATCATGGCGTGAGCCACCACACCTGGCCCCATTTTCCATCTGTAAAGGTACTAGAATATTCAGTGCCATTTTCCCAGCCTTATAGTTCTAGTCTGGACTTAAAAAAGCTTCCCTAAGCACCCTGCATAGAATCACATTTTAGCTAGAGAGGAAAAACAGTGGCAGAAGAGCATAGGATAGCATGTTAAAGCCAGAGACATTTAAATAAAGTCCTAAAGGAAGAAAAGAGTATGGGGTGACTCCCTGGAAGTTGTGAGACTGGAATTGAGTTTTGGAGAACCAATGAAAGTGGGAAAGGACATTTCGGTAGGGAGGAACTATGAGCAAAAGCATGGTGGGGAGTGAAAAGACTAAGCTGAAGTGGTAAGAGCAAAAGGTACAGCTTTGAGGTAAGGCCTGCCTCAAGGGCCGTGAGTGCTGCTGACCTAGGGCTCTTCTCCCTCCCTACTCCCTGTATTCCAGTTCCACTTGTGAGGATTCTTCACCTCTTTGCCTCTGTTTTGGTGACATGTTCTCCTTTGGATTTCAGGAGTGTAAGCGGCCCCCAGAAGCCTTTGGATTTGAGCAGGCTACCCGGGAATATACTCTGCAGAGCTTTGGCGAGATGGCTGACTCCTTTAAAGCTGACTACTTCAACATGCCCGTGCATGTAGGTGATGGAGGGCTGAGGTAGTATTGGGCTAGGATCATAGGTGTTGGTGCCAGACGGTCTCAGCTCACCTGGGTCAATGGGTTCAGGGTGTGATGGGCCATGGTTATCTGCTACCCTTCTTCCCCCAGATGGTGCCCACAGAACTTGTGGAGAAGGAGTTCTGGAGGCTGGTAAATAGCATTGAGGAAGATGTGACTGTTGAGTATGGAGCTGACATCCATTCCAAAGAATTTGGCAGCGGTTTCCCTGTCAGTGACAGTAAACGGCACCTAACCCCTGAAGAGGAGGTGAGTGGATGATTCATGGTTACATGTCAGCTGTGTGAGCTTAGGCAAATCATTTAGTATCTGAAAAACTCAATATCTCTGTAAGATGAGGATAATTATGCCTGCCTTATGTAGCCATGAGATTTAGATGAGATGATGGCATGTAAAGAAAACAATCTAGTACCTGGCATATACAAACATGAGATGGGTTCTTTCACCTCTGTGAGCCCATTTCCTTACCTCTAAAATGGGGATAATATCTACCTTGCAAATTTGTTATAAAAATTAAATGAGAAGGTATATGAGATAACTTGCAGGTATTTTGGTAGGTGGATATATCTGTGAACGTCCCAGAAATTGAAGTGAGTAGAATTGAAAGTGTGAGAGGTAGGGAGAAAACGTGTATGTTTCTTAAGATGTTTCAAAAAAGTCTCTGACCTCAAAATTAAGGTTCCCTAGGCTAAAGAAAATGACTTAAGATCTCAGTTCCTTAGCATAACCCTCATGCCCTTTTTACAAATACCTGACCTGGCAGGAGTATGCTACCAGTGGTTGGAACCTAAATGTGATGCCGGTGTTGGAACAGTCTGTACTGTGCCACATCAATGCAGATATCTCTGGCATGAAGGTGCCCTGGCTCTACGTGGGCATGGTCTTCTCAGCCTTTTGCTGGCATATTGAGGATCACTGGAGTTACTCCATTAACTACCTCCACTGGTGAGTGGGGCCCTGGGGAGCCAGGGAATCAGTCAGTGTGGGCTCCCTGCATGACCAAGGTGTGATCTGTGTGTGTCCCTTTTCCACTTGTGCAGGGGTGAGCCGAAGACCTGGTATGGGGTACCCTCACTTGCAGCAGAACATTTGGAAGAGGTGATGAAGAAGCTGACACCTGAACTATTTGATAGCCAGCCTGACCTCCTGCACCAACTTGTCACCCTTATGAATCCCAACACTCTCATGTCCCATGGCGTGCCGGTGAGTACCCAGGCAACAGGGACAAGCGGCAGGAGTGATTTAGTGATGGCCTTTATGATGGTGGTGGTGATGGTTGTCATCTAGATTCTGCCCCTGCCCTTTCTTCATTCCTTTTCTTAATTGGGCTACAGGTTTGATTAGTAGAGACCCAAAATAATAGTGATTAGATGCACGATGGTATGCCATCTGGGCCATGTGTTTGAGGGTAACATCTAAGGGGTGGCTTATTATCACATCTAGATTCCAGCTAGTAGAAGAGGGAAATGTGGAAGGGCAGGGTTAGCCACATCTTTTAAAGCCACACATCGTTTCTGTTCATCTCCTGTTAGTGAAAACACAGTCATAGATGCAAGGAAAACTGGGAAATGTAATTCTTACTTTGGATTATCAAGTACCACTTATAAACTGGAGGTCATGTTGTTATGACAGAAGACAAGAACGAATATCAGGGTACAACTAGCAGTCTCTGCCATACTTTGTATATTCTTATCCTTCTCAGAGCAATGGGTAGGTCTTTTTATTTAACAGGTCAAAAGTTAAACCCAGAGTCCTGGTCTTTTCCTCGGTGTACTTCTGTCTTACCCTTTAAAACATTTTGCTGGGTATACAGCCTGATTTACCTGAGAGAGACTGTATATTCCTGGGAATTTCTAGCATTGATCAGCATCAGCCAGTTTTTTGGTGTGGATCTTAAAACAGCCCGATCATTAATCCTGTAAGAACAGGAATTAGGGCTGGGCGCAGTGGCTCACGCCTGTCATCCCAGCACTTCTTGGGAGGCTGAGGCGGCCTCACCTGACCTCATCTGAGATCAGGAGTTCAAGACCAGCCTGGCCAACATGGCGAAACCCCGTCTCTACTGAAAATACAAAAATTAGCTGGACATGGTGGTACACGCCTGTAATCCCATTACTCAGGAGACTGAGGCAGGAGAATCACTTGAACCCAGGAGGCGGAGGTTGCAGTGAGCCGAGATGGCACCATTGCGCTCCAGCCTGGGCAACAGAGCAAGACTCCGTCTCAGGGAAGAAAAAAAAAAAAAAAGGGATTGGTTATGAGGAGGGCCAAAAAAAAAAAAAAAAAAATTTAAAAAAAAAAAAAAAAGGAATTAGTAGATCCTCTATCTCTGCTTTAAGTCTTATTGGGGCTGCTACTCTTCCCTACTCCCTTCCACGCTCTTTTGCCTTGGCCACACTACCACTTACTCTAATACATGGGATAGTCAACACATTGAATTAATGTCTCCTTGAGATATTCCTGGATATCTGTACAGTAGGGCTTTGACTAAGTCAGTGGTTCTCACCTGTATTTCTTTTTGCCTTCACCTTGTTTTGATATACCATATGCCCCGTGAGTAATACTTTTATTATAAAATTTAGTGAAGTTTAACCAAGGACTTGTGATATCTAGGGAATTGGACTGAGGGAGGTATCCTAAAACAGTTCACATAATCTTCCTCCACTCAGGGTGTTATCCTTTTCTCTGTCTACCTCACCCCATTTCAGGATTACTGGACTCGATGATCAAGGGCCCTTTTGGTTCTGCTGCTTCACAAGCAGACATGGGGTCTGACTTTCCTCAGACTTCTGTCTTCTTGACCCATAGCCCAGCATTAGTCCTTGTCTATAATGCCATGGAAAACTGTAAAAGGGTATTCTCTTGGCCAGGTGTGGTGGCTCACGCCTATAATCCCAGCACTTTGGGAGGCCGAGGCCGGCAGATCACTTAAGGTCAGGAGTTCGAAATCAGCCTGGCCAACCTGGTGAAACCCCAGTCTCTACTAAAAATACAAAAATTAGCGGGGTGTGGTGGCGCATGTCTGTAATCCCAGCTACTCGGGAGGCAGAGGCAGAATCGCTTGAACCCAGGAGGCGGAGGTTGCACTGAGCCGAGATCACACCACTGCACTCCACCCTGGGTGACATAGCGAGACAGAGGTCTCAAAAAAAAAATAAAAAAGGATTCTCTTAAGGATTTGGGTAGCTAAGATGCGCATGCACACACACGCACACGCACACGCACACGCGCACGCAGAAGGTCATGGAGCTGTTGAATCCTTACCTCTTTTTAAAAAACTTTATCACAGCCTCTGAAATATATGCTTTTTGCTTACACCTCCACAGCATTTCTCCTGCTCATGGCTCACCGTCTTCTTTGGCCAGCTGCTGCTTTACTACCTAGCCCTCTCTCTGCCCTTTCTATAGGTAGTTCCCAGCATCTCCAGGCCCTTTGGACTTGGCAGTATCCCCTTAATCCAGGCATCTGTGATTTTCACGTTCTCATGCTGGCAGGCTACAGTTTAGCCAGCTGGAGCTCCCCCAGAGGTATCTTTAGCTCCCTGCCCCTACTGCCCCACCTTCCCTTTTGGTGGGAGAAGTCCATTTCTTTTTATAGATAAGTAATATAAGTATTATTTTCTTTCTTTTTTTTTTGAGACAGAGTCTTGCTCTGTTGCCCAGGCTGGAGTGCAGTGGCGTGATCTCAGCTCACTGCAGCCTCCGCCTCCTGGATTCAAGTGCTTCTCCTGCCTCAGCCTCCCGAGTAGCTGAGATTACAGGCATGTGCCACCACACCTGGCTAATTTTTGTATTTTTAGTTGAGACGGGGTTTCACCATGTTGGCCAGGCTGGTCTCAAACTCCTGACCTCAAGCCATCTGTCTGCCTCAGCCTTCCAAAGTGCTGAGATAATAGGTGTGAGACACCACGCCCAGCAAAAGAATTTAAAAGTACCTATGTACCTAGCATATTTCTTTGGACAGCACTGGTCTAGAATGATTTTTGCTTTGTTAACTATATGAATTATAACCATTTTAAAAAATGTTTTATTGTAATATGATTTGCTACATACCATAACATTCACCCATTTTAAGTGCACAATTCAGTAAATTTATGGAGTTGTGCTATCATCACTATAATCCAGTTGTAGACCATTTCTACCACCACAAAAAGATCCCTTATACCCATTTACAGTTACTCTTCTTTCTGGCCCTTAGTCCCAGTCAATGTTCATCAGTTTTCTGTCTATAGATTTGTCTTTTCTGGACAGTTCATAAAAATGGGATAATATGTAGTTATTTGTGTCTTGCTTCTCTCACTTAGCTTGTTTTTGGGGTTCATCCACATTGCAGCATGTGTCAGAACTTGATTCCTTTGATGGCCCAGTAATATTCACCAGTTGTTGAACCTTTGAGTTGTTTTTACTTTTTGGCTATTCACAGTTGTCATTTTTAACAGCTGCAGAATGTGAGGAGAACTTTTCTAAGTAACCACATAGGAAATAGTAAAGTGACGTTGCCAGAATCAGGGTGCAGGGTGAGACAGAGTTATGAGCATCAGGTTCTACTCCTGTCTCTGTTACCTGAGGCTTCTCTGAGACTTAGTTTTCATGGCTATAAAATTAAGGCTGGCATAGTGAGACCCCTTCTGATTAATTAATTAATTAATAATAAATAAAACTAAGGCTGGGACTAGATCAGTCAGTAAATGTTGCTAGAGCTCATTCTATGTGTAAGTCCTCCCTGGTCAACACTAAGGGTAAATAAGCCAGTGCCTGTGTTTGGGTATGCATAGCTGAGGGTTGGACAGAGAGGAGTAAATAAGTGAAATAAAGCATTAGAGGTGCTACAAAAGAGCAACAAACTAGGTCATTTAGGAAGTGGGCGTATCAGGAAAGGGTTTGTGGGAGCAGATCCCTGAAAGAAGAGTAAGAGTTTACCTGTCAGAGCTGTGGCTTAATCATGTGGGCATGGGGATTCCAGTAAGGGGCTCTCAGCTGAGGCATTACATGGTCAGATTTGCATTTTTTGAAAGATAGTTCTGGTGGTTAGTAATGGAGGCCAATGCAGTAATACAGGTAAGAAATGCTGATGTTGCCTCTAAGTAGAGATAGATTTAAAAAGAAAATATGATGGAGATGGGAGCTGATACATGGTCCAAATAAATGTGGAGATATGTTTATGAATGGAAAGATTTAATATTGTTAGCATGTTAATTCTCCCCAAATTAATTTAGACTTCTGGCAGAGGAATCATTGGGTTGAAGGGTTCTTGGTATACATTAGCAAATTTGTTTTCCAAAGAGTAGAACTTATTGATTCCCTTACCAGCACTGTACCTACTTCACTTTGTCTTCACCAGAATTGAATGTTTATCTATAAAAGCTTTGTGAGACGTCTTAGTAAAGATGACAGGTTAAGCATACACATGGCTACTTCCATTCTATACTGAAACTGCCCTAAAATGACACAAGGGCATTTTTTTTTTTTTTTTTTTTTTTTTTTTGAGACAGAGTCTTGCTCTGTCGCCCAGGTTGGAGTGCAGTGGTGTGATCTTGGCTCACCACAACCTCCATCTCCTGGGTTCAAGTGATTCTTCTGCCTCAGCCTCCTGAGCAACTGGGACTACAGGTGCGCCACTGTGCCCTGCTCATTTTTTTATTTTTAGTAGAGACGGGGTTTCACCATATTGGCCAGGCTGGTCTCCACCGCCTGACCTCGTGATCCACTCACCTCAGCCTCCCAAAGTGCTGGGATTACAGGGGTGAGCCACTGCGCCCATCCACACAAGGCATTTTTTTTTAAGGTGAAAAAAATTACAGAGATGGAGAATACCAGAGAGGATACAATGATAAAATTCTTGAAGCTAAAAAACAGATGTGAAAACTGAAACATAAGCCACTACTGAGGACATCTTGAGAACCAACCTGATTTATACATCAGATTCCCCCAAATACTTATAATTGGTGGCACCAGGCATTCTGGGGGTGAAGATGGATGGGGTGAAAATAAGGATTGGTTCATGTCTACATAAGAAGCTGTGAGATCTCCTCCCATGCTGGGCAGCTAGAAATGTCTAGTCACTCTAGTAAAAGACTGAAGATTTATTTCTGAAGAGGTTAAAACAGAGTCTATGGATTAAGGTCTCCTAGGTACAGTTGAGGGTGGAGTTATAGGGAAAGTAATTAGGATTTATCATAGTGGATGCTGAGGTTCCCAGGCATCTTTCTCCACTTGGCCAGTTAGAACACCGGCCACCAGGCCTTTTTTCCTACAGGCAAAAATAAAAAGAAGAGGGATTTCTCTGGGGAATCTGACTGGCCTGAGAGGAAAGACCTGGAATTTCCCAAATTAAATGGCTTAGCTAGATCACCCTACAGTGAATCTTACAGTTGACAGGCTTCGTCTGTATACTCAGAGCTTCCATTCAGCTTTTTCATCTCTTCCTCTTAAATATAAGCAGGCAGCCACAGATAAATAACTGAGAGGCTGGGCATGGTGGCTCACGTCTGTAATCCCAGCACTTTGGGAGGCTGAGATGGGTGGATCACCTGAAGTCAGGAGTTTGAGACCAGCCTGGCCAACATGGCCAAACCCTGTCTCTACTAAAAACACAAAAATTAGCCCAGCGTGGTGGTGTATGCCTGTAATCCCAGCTACTCGGAGGCTGAGGCAGGAGAATCACTTGAACCCAGGAGGCAGAGGTTGCAGTGAGCCAGGATCACACCACTGCACTATAGCCTGGGTGACAGAGCAAGACTCTGTCTCAAAACACACCAAACAGAAAAACAACTGAGGAAACCTTAAAAAATAAACCTCACAAAAGAGAAAGCAACTTGGAGATACAGAGGCCAGGTAGGGAGAAATAAACTTCAGAAGAAAAGCGTATACTGTAAACATGAAAGACGACCAGGATGCTGTTTTAAAAAATAGCATACTGCAAACAAAATTATAAGAGCAAAAGTGAAAAATGTAAAAAGCTTATGTTTTTCACTTTTGAAAGATAGTTGAGGAAATCTCCCAAAATCTAGAGTAAAAAGATTGAAAAAGGTAGAAAAAATTAGAGATTTTTCTAGGAGGTTTAATATTCAAATAATAGGAGTTATGGAAAGAAAATAGATGAAAACTGAGAGGATGAAATCACTCAAGAAAATTTCCTTTAACTGAAGAATCGAGTTTCCAGACTAAATGGGCCTACCCAGTAAATGAGTGAAAAGGAATTCATATCAAGATATATCCTGTGAACTTTTATATCAAACACTGAGACCAGAAGAGATAAGCTCTAGAGAGAGAAACAGGTTTCAAATGCTTATCAAAGCATTAGAAATCAGAATGTCTTCAAAGTATTCAACAGTAACACTAGAAGACTAGAACAGTGCCTTTAAAATTATTTTCTAAGTCAACAACTATGGGAGTTTATAAAAAGGATTTTCATCTTAGAATTCTATATACAGTCAAGTGTGAGAGTAAGAATAGAGACTTTTTTTTTTTTTTTTTTTAAAAAGTAGGTTCTTCACACCATTTCTTAGGGAACTGTTGGAGGATGTTCTTAAGCATAGCAAAGGAATAAACCAAGAAAGAGAAAGACATGGGACCTAGGAAATAGGAGATCTGTCACAAGGGAGTGATGATCCAGGGAGGACAGCTAGTCCAGATTGGGACAGATCAGAAGGTTGCATGAGAGACGGCTGTAGAAAGATGAAAATTGATAGGAAAAGAGATTTGGATATTGGTCAGAAAGTTAGGGATACATGTATAAAAAACTAAGCAAATTGAGAAACAGGAAGCTGTTTTTAACATAGTCTAGAAGCATGTTATTTAAGGTAATTATAATCATCACCAAAATAATCAAAAGAGGTGAAAGTGATCGGCTCTGGGGAAGGGAGAATGGCAAGGCCCGCTGATTTTATAACAGACGATACAGCCATTTGACTTTTAAAACTGCATATGTAACTGATGAAAGTAAATAACTTAAAAAGCTTGTCCATTCTGATCTTTGACAAACCTGACAAAAACAAACAGTGGGGAAAAAGGATTCCCTGTTTAATAAATGGTGTTGGGAAAACTGGCTAGCCATGTGCAGAAAGCAGAAACTGGACCCCTTCCTGACGCCTTACACTAAAATTAACTCCAGATGGATTAAAGACTTAAATGTAATACCTAACACCATAAAAACCCTAGAAGAAAATCTAGGCAAAACCATTCAGGACATAGGCATAGGCAAGGACTTCATGACTGAAACACCAAAAGTATTGGCAACAAAAGCCAAAATAGACAAATGGGACCTAATCAAACTCCACAGCTTCTGCACAGCAAAAGAAACAGTCATTAGAGTGAATCGGCAACCAACAGAATGGGAAAAAGCTTTTGCAATCTACCCATCTGACAAAGGGCTGATACCCAGAATCTACAAAGAACTAAAACAGATTTACAAGAAAGAAACAAGCCCATTCAAAAGTGGGCGAAGGATATGAACAGACACTTTACAAAAGAAGACATATATGAGGCCAAGAAACATGAAAAAATGCTCATCATCACTGGTCATTAGAGAAATGCAAATCATAACTACATTGAGATACCATCTCATGCCAGTTAGAATGGTGATCATTAAAAAATCGGGCGAAAACAGATGCTGGAGAGGATGTGGAGAAATAGGAACACTTTTACACTGTTGGTGGGAGTGTAAATTAGTTCAACCATTGTAGAAGACAGTGTGGTGATTCCTCAAGGATCTAGAAATAGAAATTCCATTTGACCCAGCAATCCCATTACTGGATATATTTCCAAAGGATTATAAATCATTCTATTATAAGGACACATGCACACGAATGTTCATTGTGGCACTCTTTACAATAGCAAAGACCTGGAACCAACCCAAATGCCCATCGATGATAGACTGGACAGGGAAAATGTGGCACATACACACCATGGAATACTATGCAGCCATAAAAAATGATGAGTTCGTGTCCTTTGTAGGGGCATGGAGGAACCTGGAAACCATCATTCTCAGCAAACTGACACAAGAACAGAAAATCAAACACCACATGTTCTCACTCATAGGCAGGTGTTGAACAATGAGAACACATGGACACAGGGAGGGGAGCATCACACACTGGGGTCTAGGGGGAGAAATAGGGGAGGGACAGCTTGGGGTGGTGAGTTGGAGAGGGATAACATGGGGAGAAATGCCAGATATAGGTGATGGGAAGGAAGGCAGCAAACCACACTGCCATGTGTGTACCTATGCAACAATCTTACATGTTTTTCACATGTACCCCAAAACCTAAAATGCAATAAGTTTTCCCCCCCCAGGAAAAAAAAAAAAAGCTTGTCCAGCTTAATGAAAAGTGATATTTATAATTCTTGCAAAAATTACTAAGGAAGTTGAAATTTTTGACAGATATATTTTTTAATCTCAAATATTCCTGTCATCTCAACACACATCAAAACCTTGAGAGCAGAGACCAGTGGTCCTTCATTTCAGAATTGGAGAGTCTGAGATGCTATTGTCAGACTGTCCCCTGAGGCTTTCCTTTGTCCCCTTAACAACCTTGTGCTTAAGTCAGGTCTGCATACAGGAAATTCTCTCTCAACAGCCATGGCCTTTCTTGTTCTTCAGGTTGTCCGCACAAACCAGTGTGCAGGAGAATTCGTCATCACCTTCCCCCGTGCTTACCACAGTGGCTTCAACCAAGGCTACAACTTTGCCGAGGCCGTCAACTTTTGCACTGCCGACTGGGTGAGTCTGGAATGTGTTGGGATGGCGGGGGTGAAGCAGGAGGGTTGTGGAGAAGCTGGGACATCATGGCATCCAGACTTGGCCACACTCAACCTTGAACCTGCCCACAGTTGCCTGCTGGGCGCCAGTGCATTGAGCACTACCGCCGGCTCCGAAGATACTGCGTCTTCTCCCATGAGGAGCTTATCTGTAAGATGGCTGCCTGCCCTGAGAAGCTAGACCTGAACCTGGCGGCGGCTGTGCACAAGGAGATGTTCATCATGGTGCAAGAAGAGCGGCGTCTACGAAAGGCCCTGCTAGAGAAGGTGGGTGGTACCTTAGAGTACCCCAGATAAGCACCCTTTTCTGCTGGAAGTTGGGGGAGGCAGAGGTGGCACCAAGAAGATGTAGCCTCTACTCTTGGAGTATAGTGAAAAGAACTAGATGCATCTTGATTGAAAACCACATACCATTCTCTGCTATACCCTTTACCAGCAACCTTGCTTAAGTCAGTTTACTTCATTGTCAGTTTTCCCATCCAAAAAATGGGATTATGGTAATGCTTATCTTTTTGCATGGTTGATTGGATTAAAGATAATGTTTGCTTAGTGACTGACCCATAGCAGGTACTGGTAAAGCAGCTATTTATCATTATTTAAGTGACCCAGCAAGATAGCTGGCGTATGAAACTTCACCACTGATTATCTTTGTATCAAGTTACTTCATCTTTCATAGTCTGATCAAGTTACTTAATCTTTGATAGTCTCACTTTTCCATTCTAAAATAGGAATAAATGTCTAACTTGCAAAGTGTAAAGTTAGAGTATGGTGATTTAAGTTAAAGCCATCTATGCTACATTGCCTTTGCAATGTTGCAGCTGCCATTATTGACATTGTTAATACATGAAGAAACTGATTGAAATGTGTATGGAATGTTTCTCAGGAAATGCCATTTTACATGCGGATGGTTCAAGCTAGGGCAATAATATTACCAAGTAGAAGGTGGTCCTGCTTTAATTGATTTCTCATAATTATGTGTCAGTTGTGTGTGTAGCTGAGTGGAAGCTGCTACAGAGCTCCAAAGTCCACTCATGTAGTTTCAGCCATCGTCTTCAGATTTCACAATTGCCCAGTTAGGGAATTGACTTTGTGAGTCTTTCATAAGATTACAAAGGAATACTGGTTCTGTGGGATCCCTTGCTGCCTATATTTAGGGTAATACTTTTTTATTTTAAAGCTCATTTATAACTTCCCTGTGAGTGTGGGCTGTAGGGAGAACTATAGCTACAGGAATGTTGGAAGCCTGGGGCCTCTCAGTCGTGGTGTTAGTTGTTGAGTCCCTGGGCTTTTCCAGGCATCATTTTCTTGCTCTGTTCAGTACTGTTATTAAATGATGGCTGAGTGGCTGTGCCAGGCTGTGGGAAGGAGCCAAAGCAGGGTGGGGAGAATAGACCGTCTCACCTTGACATTCAAAATTCTTCACATTTGGCCCTTAACTCACAGAAGCATTCTGGACACCATAGTCTTGGAATCCTGTAAGAGACTGTATGTGTATTGAAGTATGTTTCTGGGAAGAGGACTCATAGTTTACATCCAATTCTCAAGAGTCCATGGTCCAAAAAAACCCTAGAGACTTTATCCTTAGAATATTCTCTGGCTTTAGAGTCAAAATTAACTCAGTTTGGAAAGTTACTGACCTTGAGACTTAGTTTCAGCCTTCATAAAATGAGATAGGCCTGTGGAATATATATTCTTATCTGAAAATTAGAGCTAATAACAGTAAATACTTGATGAACACTGACTCTAAGTGCTGAGATACTTGTCTACTTCCATAGCTGCTTTATCTTTGTTGATCCTTGTAACAACCCAACAAAGATGATACTGTTTATCTCCATCTTACTAGATAATGAAACAGACTCAGAGACGTTAAATGATTTACTCATGATCGCACAGAGAATAAGTGGCAGAGTGGGATTTGGGCTCATAACTTATGCAGAGCTTAGGTGTTAAAGTTGGTATGTAAGACAAAAACTGTTAGAGTCAACATTTCCCATCAAAATCCCTAAAATTGACCATTAGATAAAAGCACTGGGTTGTCTCTCAGTTACTCTGACATAGCCAGCTTTTCCTTCATTTTTGAAATGGATTGCTTTTTCTTTATCTGAACAGCAGTTGAAGTCATTGGATTAGGTTTAGAAGCCATATTGTTGGGAGGAAATTATTATACCCCTTTAAACCCTGAACACAAGCACATACTGTTGAATTTCTCTAAGTTATATATGTACACAGGTATCTCTTGCCTACTAAGTGGCCAGAGCCGTGCCTGGAACACAGTGGGCTCTGAGTAACTGGAAGCCAATATTGTTCCCCAGTACACATCCTCCATAACTAGCCAGGCCTGTCCCTTGGCCACTTCCACACATTGCCACGTCTCTGTTATCTTGGTCCACAATTTTCCTCACTTCTCACCCACTTTCTGCTGATTTGGATCTCACCTGATTTTTCTTCCTCTATAAAATTATCTGATTCAGCTTACACTGATCTTTCCCTGGTTTATCTGATTCCCTCAGCTTTGAGAGTCTGGACTTTACAAAGGGCAGGTATGCTCCATGGGTTTTCGCCTCTTAAACCCCATGACCCTCAGCATAGATTTGAGTCTAAAGTAGGGGTCAGTGGTGGCTGAGATGGAGGATTCTGCTACCTGGTTCTGGTTATATATAACATATGGATTGAATGCCCTTAGGGCATCACAGAGGCTGAGCGAGAGGCTTTTGAGCTGCTCCCAGATGATGAACGCCAGTGCATCAAGTGCAAGACTACGTGTTTCCTGTCAGCCCTGGCCTGCTATGACTGCCCAGACGGCCTTGTCTGCCTTTCCCACATCAATGATCTCTGCAAGTGCTCCAGTAGCCGGCAGTACCTACGGTGAGCGTGGGCCTTTCTGGAGGAAGTGAGGCAAGAAGGAGGATGCAGAGCTGGGCCAGACATGCTCTTGCCTGCCCTCTTCCTCCAGGTATCGGTATACCTTGGATGAGCTTCCTGCCATGCTGCATAAGCTGAAGGTTCGGGCTGAGTCCTTTGACACCTGGGCCAACAAAGTGCGAGTGGCCCTGGAGGTGGAGGATGGGCGGAAGCGCAGTGAGTGATGGGGGGATGGAGGGACTCCACAGGCAAGTTCTGTTCCCTTCTGTACTCCAACCCCCTTCCTCCGCCTTTATTCAATGCTGCCTACTCCTTGGTGCCCTCATTCTTCTTCCAGGCCTTGAAGAACTGAGGGCACTAGAGTCTGAAGCCCGTGAGCGGAGGTTTCCTAATAGTGAGCTGCTGCAGCGACTAAAGAACTGCCTGAGTGAGGCAGAGGCTTGTGTGTCCCGAGCTCTGGGACTGGTCAGCGGCCAGGAAGCTGGGTATGGCAGCATGAGGAGTTGGGGCACACATGAGGTGCTCAGGATCCAGCACCGAGGAAAAGTACTGCAAGGGGTAGACTGTGGATACCATTTGACAGACTGGACATCAGCAGGAAGCTGCCAGGGATGAGTGTGAGATGGCCTGGAAGGTGTTAGGGAGGGCAAGGAGACCAGGTCACCTAGAATGGAGAGGAGAGCCTCTGTGTTAGAAAGCTAGACGTGTTTATTTTTTATCAGTACCTGAAAGAGGTCTGAGAGAGAGGTTGAGGGGCTTTATGGGCAGGGAAGAGTTGTGGGAGGCTTACAGGTAAGAACAGGACACAGATGTATAAACCTGATCTCTGCTGCACAGCTAGAGTTCACAGTAGAGGATGGATTGCATAGTACAGCTCTTGTTATGACCCATTAGTTTCTAAGTTCCTTCTCTCCTCACCAGAAATGTATTTCCCTCTCTTCTAATTCTTTCCCCTCATAATATGAACACGCTCTGTAATTTAAAACCTTCCCTCTAACCCGGGCAGTTGGGGCAAATTTGAAATATGCAAGATCAAGGTGGACAGGTGTGGTGAGGAAAGGTGTTGGGTCTTAGCATATACATGGAGGGAGGGCACTGGGTTTGGACCTGAAACCTCACATGTGAAACTCCATAGCCCCCACAGGGTGGCTGGTCTACAGATGACCCTGGCTGAGCTCCAGGCCTTTCTGGACCAGATGAACAACCTGCCTTGTGCCATGCACCAGATTGGGGATGTCAAGGTGAGGACGCTTGGAGTGCTGCTGAGGGATCAGGGTGACTGGGGACCTGAGCAGCAGGCCACTCTTGGCTCCTTTCAAAAGCCTGAAGTGTTCAGGCGAGACAGGACTCATGTTTGAGAAAAGAACAGATGGGAGGGTAAGGCAAGGGGCTAGTGACTGCCTGTTAGAAATGGGACTTGAGGGTCAGGTGGCAAGGGGATGAGTACAGGATACAGAGTCCAGGTAAGGTTTCCTCGAGGAGGGGTAGAGGAGAAGGAGGTAACAAGGGTGCTTGTTGGGCTTGGAAAGTGGAGTGAAATTCATGAAAGTGGAGGAGGAATGAGATGAAGAGGGCAACAGATCCCAGGGTGGTGAGCATGAGGGTCTGTGTGAGGACTAAGCATAGCAATTTTTAGGGCACAGAGGTCTCTTGGTTCTCTGAGAACAGAGCCCTCTGGAGAGATAAGTAAAGCATAGATTCATAATTATTAAGAATCTCTAGGGGTGGGGCCCAGGAATCTGCATTCTTAACAAATTCCCCAGGGCATTCTAATGAGCAGTCAGTGTTGGGAACCTCACTGTCTTAGGGCTTGGAGAAGGAGAGCCCAGCCAATGTTAGGCTCGTTTGCCCCAAAAGCTTGGAGGGCAAGAAGGTAGATGGGACAAGGGTATCTGGTGGTGGTACCCCTTAGTGGGCCCAGCTAAGGAGTTTGTTCTTCATCCTATGTTCTGGTAGGGTGTTCTGGAACAGGTGGAGGCCTACCAGGCTGAGGCTCGTGAGGCCCTGTCCTCACAGCCGTCCAGTCCAGGGCTACTGCAGTCCCTGTTGGAGAGGGGGCGGCAGCTAGGGGTGGAGGTTCCTGAGGCCCAGCAGCTCCAGCGGCAGGTGGACCAGGCACAATGGCTGGATGAGGTGAAACGCACACTGGCCCCCTCAGCCCGAAGGGGCACCTTGGCTGTCATGCGAGGACTGTTGGTCGCGGGTGCCAGTGTAGCCCCTAGCCCTGCTGTGGATAAAGCCCAGGCTGAGCTGCAGGAGCTGCTGACCATTGCTGAACGCTGGGAGGAGAAAGCCGACCTCTGCCTGGAGGCCAGGTAGGTCCAGCTGCTTCTTCCCTGCCCTATTCCAAACATCAAAGTTGAATGGAGACCCAGAAGATGATTCCCATGGGTGGCCTAGGTATCATGCTCCTGTGTTGCCATATTGACTCTCCTTCTCCCTTTTGTTTCCTATCTTGTCATTTTGTCTTTAAAAACAAAACAAAACAATCTCTGTATACTTAAAGGCAGAGAGAGGCTGATGGAGAAGCAGAAATGGACAGATAGTATGTAGAGGACTAGTCCTGCAGGCTCTTGTGCCCATACCCAGAAGCACAAGTGATAGGCAGATGGGCAGATGTTAGTAGAAAGATCCCACACAGGGCATTTGACAAACTGCAGCAACAGATTACACAACACAGGTTGTATATGTAGGCATTGCCAGCAGGCCAGCAGACTGGCAGACAAGCAGAGGCACAAGAGCAATGGCAGAAGGATGAAGTTGGGCGCATGCAATCTTGGCGAAGCAGGGACTGGCAGCTACCCTTAGATGGAATACAAGCAAGTAGGCCCAAGTGGCAGCAGGAATAACAAACACCCAAGGGGCCCATGCAGTTATATCTGGTGGGCAGTCTGGGCTTCTGGTCAGGCAGACCACATCAGACTGAGTTTCTTTGTTTTTCCTACCTTTAGGCAGAAGCATCCACCAGCCACACTTGAGGCCATAATCCGTGAAGCGGAAAACATCCCTGTTCACCTGCCCAACATCCAGGCTCTCAAGGAGGCTCTTGCTAAGGCCCGGGCCTGGATTGCTGATGTGGATGAGATCCAAGTGAGGACCCTGCCACCCCCATCTTCCACCCCAGGCCTTCAGTCCAGCTGGGAAGAGATGGCATATATACTGGGATGTGCTGGGTTGCTGGGATGGGTTGGGTTGGCTGGAGAGAGTAATGGGCATGGCATGTAGTCAGGAGGCAAAATGTGCCTGATGAGCAGGATGAGAGGAAGAGTGTGAGGCTGGCCTGAAGGAAGAGAGGGCAATGGTTGGGATGAGAATGGTGGGCCAGGGAAACAGGTGGTATGGGAGTGAGCAGGGCAGGGGCGTGGCGGAGAGAGGAGGCAAACCACAACAGAAGGCTGACTGGATACTTGGGGCTGAGCCAGTCAGTAGATGCCCGAGTTGTGAGAGAGAGTTAAGTGGGTGTTCCTTAGGATGACGCCTGTTTTTTTCTCCCTCAAGACTGAGCCCAGTTCATGTTTCCAGCTCACGGCCAGGCACAGAGTAAGCATCAGTAGCATTGGCAAGTTGAACTGAGGTGTCTCTTGCCCTTGTCCCTAGAATGGTGACCACTACCCCTGCCTGGATGACTTGGAGGGCCTGGTGGCTGTGGGCCGGGACCTACCTGTGGGGCTGGAGGAGCTGAGACAGCTAGAGCTACAGGTACTGACAGCTCACTCCTGGAGGGAGAAGGCCTCCAAGACCTTCCTCAAGAAGAATTCTTGCTACACACTGCTGGAGGTGAGGCCTGGGACCTTGACCTACCGCATCTCTTACACCTGCCCTGGCTGCCATGAGATGGCTCATGAGATAACATGGGTTTTGTGAGGGCACCAGGGAGGGAAGGAGAGGGCGTGGGATGTAAGGGAAGCCCAGTCATCCCCTCTCTGTCTGCCTGCCTCAGGTGCTCTGCCCGTGTGCAGATGCTGGCTCGGACAGCACCAAGCGCAGCCGGTGGATGGAGAAGGAGCTGGGGTTGTACAAATCTGACACAGAGCTGCTGGGGCTGTCTGCACAGGACCTCAGGGACCCTGGCTCTGTGGTAAGGAGCTTAGACACAGATGGAGAGAAGAGCTTGGTGGTGATAGTGTCTGAGCTGGGTGACCATGAGCAGACCGCTTGCTTCCTGAGCCTCAGTTCTCCTGGTTTGGGAGTGGGGTGTTACAAGGGGCCAGAGAAGGGAAGGGATAGGCTGCTGACCCACTCTGCTCCTGTCCTGGGTATGACAGATTGTGGCCTTCAAGGAGGGGGAACAGAAGGAGAAGGAGGGTATCCTGCAGCTGCGTCGCACCAATTCGGCCAAGCCTAGTCCACTGGCATCGTCGACCACAGCCTCCTCTACAACCTCTATCTGTGTGTGTGGGCAGGTGCCAGCTGGGGCGGGAGCTCTGCAGTGTGACCTGTGTCAGGACTGGTTCCATGGGCGGTGTGTGTCAGTGCCCCGCCTTCTCAGCTCTCCAAGGCCCAATCCCACCTCATCCCCACTGCTGGCCTGGTGGGAATGGGACACCAAATTCCTGTGTCCACTGTGTATGCGCTCAAGGCGCCCGCGCCTGGAGACCATCCTGGCACTGCTGGTAGCCCTGCAGAGACTGCCTGTGCGGCTGCCCGAGGGCGAAGCCCTGCAATGCCTCACAGAGAGGGCCATCAGCTGGCAAGGCCGCGCCAGGCAGGCTCTGGCCTCTGAAGATGTGACTGCTCTGTTGGGACGACTGGCTGAGCTCCGCCAACGGCTACAGGCTGAACCCAGACCTGAGGAGCCTCCTAACTACCCTTCAGCCCCTGCTTCTGACCCCCTCAAAGAGGGCAGTGGCAAGGATATGCCTAAGGTGAGCTGCACAGCCCAGCTCTTGCCCCGAAATTCTTGTCTCTTAACCCCTACCCCATGTTAGGCTTGGCATTGCCCCTTGTTCTCCAATTTTCAGTTTTCGTTGGAACACCCTTCCTGCTCCATTCTGCATCGTCCAGATTCCTCGATTCTGCTCCCTGATGGCAGCCTATGTTTTCCCTCCTCCTCCAGAAGGAGGAGGGTCTCAAATTTGGAGTTGGCGGGGGAGGAATAGGGCCTGGTTCTTCAGTTCAGTTGCCCTTACCTATCCTTGCTTTCCTTGGCAGGTCCAGGGCTTACTGGAGAATGGAGACAGTGTGACCAGTCCTGAGAAGGTAGCCCCGGAGGAGGGCTCAGGTAAGAGAGGTAGGTCTAGGTGTGGTGTGGGTAGGCTGTTGACTGCACATCACCAGAATGACCCACGTAGCTCTGTTGTAGTGGTGGGGATAAGACCAAGGGCAGCCTCTAACACAGCCTATTCCTGCATTCCCCTAGACCTGGAACTGCTGTCCTCGCTGTTGCCACAGTTGACTGGCCCTGTGTTGGAACTGCCTGAGGCAACCCGGGCCCCCCTCGAGGAGCTGATGATGGAGGGGGACCTGCTCGAGGTGACCCTGGATGAGAACCACAGCATCTGGCAGCTGCTGCAGGCTGGACAGCCCCCAGACCTGGAGAGGATCCGCACACTTCTGGAGGTGAGGAGAGGGGTCGTGGGCCGGGCCAGGAGGTCAGACCGAGTAGGGAGCCCAGGCCTGACCACTGGCCCACAACCTGTCTTTCTGCCTATCTGTAATCACAGCTGGAGAAGGCAGAGCGTCACGGGAGTCGGGCTCGGGGCCGGGCCCTGGAGAGGCGGCGGCGGCGGAAGGTGGATCGGGGTGGGGAGGGCGATGACCCAGCCCGAGAGGAGCTAGAGCCAAAGAGGGTACGGAGCTCAGGGCCAGAGGCCGAGGAGGCCCAGGAGGAGGAAGAGCTGGAGGAGGAGACTGGGGGTGAGGGCCCCCCTGCACCCATCCCCACCAGTGGCAGCCCCAGCACCCAGGAGAACCAGAATGGCTTGGAACCGGCGCAAGGGACCACTTCAGGCCCCTCAGCCCCTTTCTCCACTCTGACTCCCCGGCTGCATCTGCCCTGCCCACAGCAGCCGCCTCAGCAACAGTTGTGACAGTGGCTGAGCCTAGCACAGACCCTGACAGAGACCCCCCTCGGCCTCAAGGATCCTCTTTGTGACCATCAAGCCTGCTTCTTGAGGGGTGGGTGGGTAGGGGGGTGGCCATCCCCCTACCCACTCATCCCTGAGTCCCTTGACTTTTGTATTCTGACTCCAAGGTATTGTTCAGACCTCAGCTCCTGGGGGCCGGCCCCTGGAGTCCTCCCTCCCTTGTAGCCTCTAACCAGCATTCCTAGACACTTGAGGCAGATAGATGGATGGGCTGGTGGGCGGGGGTTGGGGGGAGGGTGGCTGGGGCTGGGCCAGCACCATTCCAGAGACAAGGCCAGTGCATATGCGAACTGGGGGACTCTCCTCTCCCTTCTCTCCCCAGTTCTGGTCCTGACCAGGCCATGCTACACTAACCCCTGCCCCCACTCTCCTCCCCTCTTTTCCTTCCTACCCTCTTCTCCCTCTCCCTTCCCCTGACCGTTCCACCCAGGAGGAGGAAACTTCACATAGTTGTGCTCACAGTTTTTTATTTTAAAGGAATTTGGCTGGTGAGCTGAACAGGGCTCCCTGTGATCTGAAGAAAGCTTTTGGTGCTTGTCCTCACAACCACCTCAATCCTCCCTCCCTGTCCTTCCCTGTCTCCTTTCCTCCTCCTGGGTTCATGTTGTAATAAAAGAAGATTGTTGGTGTGTAATTAATTTGTTCAAAAGAAAAAGCAAAACAAGAAACTTGGTTCCAACTGAAGCCTATTTTAATTTTATTTTATTATTTTCCTCTTGTTAGAAATAAAACCCTTAGAAACATTTTTTGGAAACATGTTTCTGAAGTGCATTTCTCTCAGGTGGGGAGGACAGTGCTTCCCTCACCAGTCATTGGAGCAGCTGTAGTGCTAGCAGGAGCACTCAGGCTAAAGCCAAGAAGCTCTGGGTTCTGAAATCAAGTTCCACCAGCTTCTTAACCTTGGGCAGGACATCCTGATCCTCCCCCAACTCTACCCCCAAGCCACTTTCCCTCAAGTCCAAACAGATAGGCTCTGGCCCCCTCATCCTGACTCCTACACCACAGCCTCCCCCAGTTGATGCCCTCCAGTTTATCCTCCTCAAGCTCCCAAAGGGATTTTTTTTTTAAATGGCTTTATTGAGATATAATTTACATACCATAAAATTCACTTGTTTGAAATGTACAGTTCAGTGATTTGGGTTTCTGAAGTGTAGATCTGGTTATATACTGCTTAAAACCTTCCATGATGCTTTATTGCCCTTAAGATTATACATAGAATCTCGTTCTTTCTAGAATGTTTTCTTGTCTAACCCGTATACTGCATAATTCCCTGATTTTTCTCCACAGGTTCTTTATGCCCCTGATGAATGGGGACTAAAGCTCAGATGTGTGGTCATTTGAAACCCCTGAGTTCACTTTTTTAAGACAGCTTATTGAGATGTAATGTACATATCATACAGTTCACCCACTTAAAAGTGTACAATTAAATAGCTTTTAGTATATTTAGAGTTGTGCAGCAATCATTGCAAAAAAAATTTTAGAACATTTTCATCATTGCAAAAAGAAACTCCATATCCCTTAGTCATCCTTTACCCCTCATCCCATTTGCCTATTCTGGACATTTTACATAAATGGAATCGTATAATATGTGATCCTTTGTGTCTGGCTTCTTTCAACTTAGCATAGTAGTTTCAAGCCCATTAATGATCCCATAGTAGTTGAAAAGATCTCCGTTCTGGGTCCCAAAGTCTTTAAGATAAGGGTGCTGGACTAAATCAGGGACTGTCAACAGATTGTTTACATGTTTTTGTGGGTGTTTGCATGCATGTGTTTTTCTGACAAGAAGACTAACCAGCTTGTATCAGATTCATAAAGGGATCCTTGACCCTCCAAAGGCTAAGAACCATTCTTTGTGGTCTTGAGTGTTCTGTGTTTGGAGTCTGCCCATGATATGAGGATACAAAGGAGGAAGCAAGAGCATGGAACCCCTACTAAACCAGTCAGCTTCCCATCATTCCTGCCTCAAGGGCTTTCCCTCCTCTCAAGGGGCTGTGAGGAGGCTGAAGGCTAAAGACTGGGTCCTGATCTCTAGCCCAGGAGCTTAGCACACTGCCACCCTTATTTTGCTTTCTCATCTGAAATTTCATGGGTTTCATTCCTCCTTCCTATATTTGCAGTTGATAGGAACCTAGTGGTAAATAAGAAAGCCCACCCTCTTCTAGCAGCAGCTTTGGTTGGTGGAAGGGTCTGGCTCAGCCCTGCTTCATCTGGTCTTCCTGTTGGGACCCTGGGCTATACAAAATACAAGTAAGGAGAGACAGGAGCCCATGGACAACCCTGTTGGGTCCAGTTTGACTCCAGGCCTCAGTCCAGGGGAAGAGGCTGACCTTTTGGCTGCCCACCTCTCTGAAATTGAACATAAAAAGAGGGTTGGAGGAGCTGACAGGAGAGGTGAGTGAGAGCTGGAATGGGTAGAAAGGGGCTCAATCTCAGCACTTAACTACCACTTCCAAGGCAGCCACAGGAAGAAGTGGCCAGACAGGAGAGGAAGAGATGGTGCCTTCAACCTGAAGCAACTCCCAGGTTAGAGAACTGCTTGGCCCAGGACGGGGGTTCTCCCAGGTATGGGCCCATCCCTCACTGGTTTTCAGACAGCCTTTCCCATCTTGGCATGTCCCTGTCCCATCCCTCACACACTTTCCTTCACAGCAGACGTACATCCCATAAACTCTGCAGGAGAGTCCCTGGCCATCATCCTGCAAGAACCAGATCAAATCTACCCTTCCAGAGAGCTTTCTCTGGTTCCAGATCTGCCCTCTTTCCCAGACGTTCCCCTAGAAAGGGAGGGGGACTGGCTCAGGGGACCCCCTCCCCCTCAGATAAGGGGATGGGGAGAATGAGGTCAGGGAAGCAGTGGGTATCTTCTCACCTCAAAGTAATTTTTTATTAAACAGAACATCACCTAGCTGCCAAGTCCTCCCAAATGTTGCCACATCCCTCAGGATGGCTCCTGAATCTGCAGGTGACAAGGGGATGGGAAGAGACATCACTTCTATTAAGGACTTTACCCAAACCCTTCCTTCAGGCCCAACTGACCCCTTCTTCACCTTCTCCTTAGTGCCTCCACCTGTGCCTTACATGGTGTCAGAAATACTCATAGGTCTGTCTCTCCTCCTACCCCAAGCTCTGGAGCTTCTGGAGGGAAGGCAAGGCCCAGGCCTCAGTCTGTCTCCACTTCCAGGCCAAGGGCCTGCAGTCTAGTTTTAGAAAGAGTTAAGAGAATCAGTTGGAGCCCCACACTGTGCATATGAACTCTTTACATTGCAGAGTCCAGTGATACAGGATTCCAACCCTTGGGAGTGGTGCCTGGGGCCTGAGGTACATGGTCAGTGGGTCCTTGAAAGGGCAGGCACTAACCATGCTTCCCAGAAGACCTGAAATTGTGATAGGAGAAGAGGGGTTAGGAAGCAGATGGACAGGGGTCTTGCCCCCGGGCACTCACATGAAAGGGAGGGGAACACCCCCTTGTAAACCTCCACCTGGGTGCTCAGCTTCATGTGAGATATTTCACAAACTCCCCAGCAGAAACAGACCCCTAGAGGAACAGACTTCACCTAGGTATATCAGCCTGGCAGAGCTGGAATTTTCACCAAATCTGTGACCCTCAGGCCTGTGCTAGACAGGTGTCCAAAGTAATCAGCCTGCCATCAGGAAATAGTTCACAATGGGACCTCAGTGTTGATCTGTGCTGTTGATAGGTTGGGAATTCAGTAGTGCTAGGGCCACAGTGGCCTTGGTAGATAGAAGTTCATATTGTCAAGGTGCATAACCTCCATGCCCATCTGTATTGGTTACATATTTGCTACATAACAAATTACCTAAAAAACCCAGTGGCTTAAAACAACATTTTATCTCTCATCCTTGTGAGTTAGGAATCTGTACACAACTTAGCTGAGTTTCTAGTTTTTATTCCGGGGTCTCACAGCCTGCAAGGTGTGAGCTGGGGCTGCAGTTATCTCAAGGCTCGACTGGGGAAGGATCCGCTTTCAAGCTTACTCACGTGGCTGTTGGCAGGATTCAGTTTCTTGCTGGCTGTTGGCTGGGGATAACTCTCAGGTTCCTTGCCATGTGTACCTTTTCATAGGGCGGCTCACAACATGGTGGCTTGCTTCAGCAGAGCAATCAAGATGAGCTAGAGATAGGAGAGTGCCCACATGCCAGACAGGACTCTTAGTCTTTATGACCTAATCTCAGATGTGACATCCCATCACTTTTTGCAATATTCTATTTGTTAGAAGTAAGTCAGTTACTAGGTCCAGGCCACACTCGAGGGGATTATACAAAGGTGTGAATACCAGGAGGCGGTGTGTGTGTGTGTGGGGGGGTGTCGTTGGGGGTCATCTTGGAGATTGACTACTATAGTTTTTCCACTGGTCCTGGTGATTCATGTTACTTACACATGCAAAATACATTCACCCTCTTCCCAAAGTCTCTAAAAGTCTCATCCAATTATAGCATTGCCCTGAAATCCAGAATGTCATCTAAATCAGGTCCATATATGAAAGAGACTCTTTGCATATGGCTTCTTAACTACTTTTTTCTCCATCTTTAGATTTGTGAGACAACTATATTTTGTGAAAAAAATTGTTTTTGTTTTGTTATAGAGATAAGATATCACTATATTGCCCAGCCTGGTCTCAAATTCCCGGGCTCAAACAGTCCTTCCACCTTGGCCTCCCAAAGTGCTGGGATTACAGGTGTGAGCCACCATGCCCAGCCGATTTGTGAGACTTAAGAGGCAAGTTATCTCTCCCCAACACATCCAACATACAATGGTGGAATAGCCATAGGACAACTACTACAGATACTCTGGTTCAAAAAGAGGGGAAATGGGAGACATAAATGAGTCACTGGTCTATAATAATTCTGAAATCCAGCTGGGAAAATGGAAGTTTCCTGATTAGATTTCAAGGCCTGGGAATAGTATTCTAAGGCTCTGCCCTCTGACCTTTTCATTCTACCCTCTGTGCCTGCCTTTTTCAAGAAAGGCAGCGCATGTTTGCAGCTGAAGTTTCCCCAGTCTGCTTCCTGCCAGTAGAATTTTGGGGGTCCAGTGGCTTTTTTTCATTTTGTCCTGTCTGTAATCAGCTGCCACCAAGGAATAGTTCCATTAGAGGGGCTTGGGTTTCTCTTCTGTTGGCAGGTTGGGCACTCAGCAGTGGCTTATAGCCAGATTGGTCTTGATGGAAGTCCATATTGTGGAGCCCATGCATAACCTCCATGCCTGCCACCATGGCCATTTTGTTCAGGAGTCCATTGGGCAAAGAAAAGGGTGAGAGACAGAGACTGACTAACAGCACAGAACAGGACACCTACCTGTCTACTTGATTGAGGTCCTCTTCTGCAGTGGACTCTGGTGCTCATTTATGTGGGACATGAATATCTGCCTATTCCAAGAGGGACATCCATATGCTCTTCCTCAGACCTCATCAATAATATTTCAGTCCTGTTATTTCCAAGTTCATCATTTAGCTGAATCATTAACTACTCATGAAACAGTGGAAACCTATCTATACCTCCGACCAGCTATGTGACCTGGCAGTTGTCCTACTGTGAGAATTTCCCTTCTCACTGTCCTTCAGGATCAGCCCTAAGTGGGGCTGTAACACTACAGTTAGCTACTTCCAGCAGGGCCAGCATATCATGCAGGGTCATGTGTAAACCAAGCTGGATATCCCCTAGTCACCTAGTCACAGGGAATTCCCCATGAGGCCTCAAGTGTGGGCAAGAGAGGGATGGCAGTACAGCAGATTGGGAGTATTATTCGCCTGCTCAGGCAGCTTATTCATCTCCTAGGCCTGTTTGTATAACTCGATTCTATTCAGTGGCAGAGTGCTACTGCACATAGATAACTTCATGGCTCGATGGTAGTGTTAACACACAGCTCTCAATGGGGAGCTCAGCTTCCCCAGGTCACTTGGAGTCCTGTGCTCAGGCATTCATTCACAATGTAGATCCACTTTTCCGTTTTTATCTTTCTCTGCTTCTGGAACTTTTGTTATCACAATATTTCTACCTCCAATTGTATCCCCCATTTCTTGAGTCTTTAACTTGCTCTTCAGCTGTAGTACTCCTCCCCTTTATGCCATCTATACTGTGTAGATTCCAATAGTATATCCAGAACAGGAGAAATCACCACAGGATTTCTCCTGGGCCCAGTGTAAGAAAGACTCAGATCAAAACTTCATGTATAACCCCATCCCAGTCTGACTGATGGGCCACAGTGGCAATCTGGTTCACCAGAGATTAACATTAATTCTGAACCAACATCCAGTGTATTTCAAAAGGCCTGAATATTTCCCTGTCCCCAGTGTACAATGACTGTGGCTGCAGGTCTCTGTGAGGAAAGCAAGGAGGGAGATTTCACCATACACATGTGTGAAGTGTAGCAAGGTCCTTCTTTGAATGGACCCTCCCCTTCATTCAAGGGACTCTGGTCTATGAGCTGGGGAAGAGGCTGGAATGCCACATTTTTAAGGATAAGATCAGGCCTCCGTTTTCCAGAGTAGAAAATTATTGGGGTTATATAACAACTAGGACTTTGTTAGGCTGTCCATCTATTTTGGTCCTAGGGAAACTATGCTTAATTATCCACTGTTACAAACCTTCACAGCTCAACCCTGATTATTGCTATGGCTCTGCTGTCCATTATAAGAACCAGACCCAATTTCTCTCTGGAGATGAACATCACCTCAATTGAAATCAGGGAGCCCATTCATGATTTCTCACCATGACCCTCATCTACAGAAATAAATCATTGCAATGCTTTATAATTTCATTCATGGACTAGTTAAGGTAAAGCTAGCTCCTGGGACAGAAAATTTTCTGAGATTTAAGACAAGTTTACTTCTTGCTTCTGTAGTATTACAAAGCAGGTGTTAATAATTGGGCTTCCCTCATTTTTTTTTTTTTTTTTTTAGACGGAGTTTCGCTCTTGTTACCCAGGCTGGAGTGCAATGGCGCGATCTCGGCTCACCGCAACCTCCGCCTCCTGGGTTCAGGCAATTCTCCTGCCTCAGCCTCCTGAGTAGCTGGGATTACAGGCACGCACCACTATGCCCAGCTAATTTTTTGTAGTTTTAGTAGAGACGGGGTTTCGCCTTGTTGACCAGTATGGTCTCGATCTCTTGACCTCGTGATCCACCTGCTTCGGCCTCCCAAAGTGCTGGGATTACAGGCGTGAGCCACCGCGCCCGGCCCGGGCTTCTCTCTTCTAAGTGATGATTCAGAGGCCTAGGCACTTTCTCTCCATAAGGTCTGCTATCTTCAAAACATGATCATCATTGTATTTATTGTCATCTCCATCCTAGATAGCCAGAAGAGGAAAAGACCATGTGGGAGGTTTCTATGAGTCGGATGTAGCACATGTCACTTCTCATATTCCATTAGCTAGAACTCAGACAATGGGCATACCCAATTGTAAGGAACACTGACAAAATGTAATCTGAAATTGTCCCTAGAAGGAAGAGGAAACAAATTTAATGACCACTTAGCTAGTCTTTACCACAGTGTTTTTCTCAAAGTCCTGTGAAAAGGAATGTCAATGTACACATAGTCAAGGGGTTAGTTGAATGTGTTACACATGATTAATTGATTTCAACATAATTATTGCCCTAAAAGATGGATTCCCCTGCCTACACTGTACCATGGAATTTCTGGCACCTTAACCTCATTTAATACAAGCTACTATTGAGTCCAGGTTTTGGTCAATCAATAGAACAACTCTTAGAAATACTCCTAGCTGCTTCAGCTAACCAAGTACAACCAGGATTGCTGATGAATGCACCCATACTGAAAAGTTTGGCTCTACCCAAACCAGATGAAAAGACATCACAAGCAAAGAAAATTACAGACCAATATCCTTTATGAATATAGATGCAACATCCCCAGCAAAATACTAGCAAACTAAACCCAATAGCATATTAAAAGTAGGATACACTTTGGCCAAGTGGGATTTATCTTAGGAATGCAAGAATGGTACAACATATGAAAATCGATCAAGGTAGTAACATCACATTAATAGAATGAAGTAAAAAAAAAACATGATCATCTCCATTGATGCAGAAAAGGCATTTCAGGCTGGGTGTGGTAGCCAGCACTTACAATCCCAGCACTTTGTGAGGCTGAGGTAGGAGGACTGCATGAAGTCAGGAGTTTGAGACCAGCTTAGGCAACATAGCAAAATCCCATCTCTACAAAAAAATTTAAAAAATTAGCTGGGCATGGTGATGTGTGCCTGTACTCCCAATTACATAGGAGGCTGAGGTGGGAGACTCCCTTGAGTCCAGGAGTTTGAGGCTGCAGTGAGCTATGATGGTGCTACTGCATTCCAGCCTAAGTGACAGAATGAGACCCTGTCTCTTAAAAAAAAAAAAAAAAACGAAAAGGCATAGAGCTAATAAGCAAATTCAGCAAAGTTGCAAGGTGCAAGATCAACACATAAAAAGCAGTTGTGCGTTTATATACTAGCAATGAACAATCCAAAATGAAGTTAAGAAAGCAATTCAATTTACAACAGCATCTAAAAGAATAAAATATGAAGGAATAAATTTAATTGAGGAGAAAGACTTGTACATTGAAAACCATGAAACATTGGTGAAAGAAATTAAAGATCTAAAGAGATGGAAAGGCATATCATGTTCATAGATTGAAAAACTTAATACTGATAAGATGTTAATACTAGCCAAAGTGATCTACATATTCAACACAGTCTTTATGAAAATTCCAAGGGCCTTTTTGCAGAAATGAAAAAGGTGATCCTCATTCATATGGAATTATAAGGAGCCATTAATAACCAAAACAATCTTAGAAAAAAAAGAACAAAGTCAAACAGCCAATTTTTTTTTTTTTTTCCAAGACACAGTCTTGCTCTGTTGCCCAGGCTGGAGTGCAGTGGCATGATCTTGGCTCAATGCAGTTTGAGGCTCACTGCAACCTCAAACTCCTGGGCTCAAGTGATCCTCCTACTTCAGCATCCCAAGTAGGTGGGCTTAATGCCACCACACACAGGTAATTTTTTTTTTTTTTTTTGAGACAAGGTCTCACTGTGTTGCCCAGGCTGGTCTCAAACTCCTGAGCTCAAGCAATCCTCCCATTTTGGTCTCCCAGTGTTGGGATTACAGGTGTGAGCCACTGTGCCCAGCCACCAATTGATACAAGAGTGCTAAGTCCATTCAATGGGGGAGAGATTAGTCTCTCCAACAGATGGTGCTGGGACAGCTGGATTTACACATGCAAAAGTATGAAGCTGGACCCCTACTTCACACCATATACCATTAACTCAAAATGGATTAATAACCTAAATTTAAGTGCTAAAACCATAACCTAGAGGAAAACAGGAGTTAATGTTCATGACCTTGGATTTGGCAACAGTCTCAGTTGTGACACTACAAGCATGAGCAACAACAGAAAAAAAAGGACAAATTGGACTTCATCAAAATTAAAAATTTTGTGCATCAAAGGACATCGAGAAAGTGTAAAGACAGCCTACAGAATAAGAGAACATATTTGCAATTATATATCTGGTAAGGATTTACTATCCAGAATATACAAACAACTCCTACAACTCAACAACAAAAATTCAATTCAATTTAAAAATGGGCAAAGGAGGCCAGGTGCGGTGGCTCAAGCCTATAATCCCAGCACTTTGGGAGGCCAAGGTGGGTGGATCACCTGAGGTCAGAAGTTCCAAGACCAGCCTGGGCAACATGGTGAAACCCAGCTCTACTAAAAATACAAAAATTAGCTGGGTGTGGTGGCATATGCCTGTGATCCCAGCTACTCGGGAGACTGAGGCAGGAAAATCACTTGACCTGGGAGGTGGCGGCTGCAGTGAGCTGAGATCATGCCACTGCACTCCAGCCTGGGCAACAGAGCAAGACTCTGTCTCAAAAACAAACAAAAAATGAGCAAAGGATCATGTCTTTGTGATTAATAAGAAAAAAAATGGGCAAAGGACTTGAATAGATATTTCTCCCAAGAAGATACAAAAATGCCCAAAAAGTTGGGGAGAGATAGCATGGGGAGAAATGCCAGATATAGGTGATGGGGAGGAAGGCAGCAAATCACACTGCTATATGTGTACCTATGCAACAATCTTGCATGTTCTTCACATGGACCCCAAAAGCTAAAATGCAATTTAAAAATGCCCAAAAAGCACATGAAAAGATGCTCAACATCATTAGTTATTAAGGAAATGCAAATCAGTTACCACTTCACACCCACTAGAATGACTATAATAATAATAATCAAAATAATAAGTATTGGAAAGGATGGGGAGAAATTGGAGTCCTGGTACAGAGAATTATCGTATGACCCAGCAATTCCACTCCTAAGAATATACCCAAAAGAACTGAAAACAAGGAGTCAAAACAGATATTTCCAAACCAGCGTTCTTTGCATCATTATTCACAATAGCCAAAAGATAAAAACAACCCAAATGTCCATCAACAGATAACTGTATAAACAAAATGCGGTATATACAAATACTGGAATATTATTCAGCCATAAAAGGAATAAAGATTGGACACATGCTACAACATAGATGAACCTTGAAAATATTATTCTAGCAGAGTGTGGTGGCTCACACCTGTAGTCCCAGCTACTCAGGAAGTGGGAGGATCACCTGAGCTCAGGGGGGTTGAGGCTGCAGTGAGCCATGATTGCTCACTGCACCCCAGCCTGGGTGACAGAGTGAGACCCTGTCTCAAAGAAAATATTCTAAGTGAAATAACCCAGACACAAAAGGACAAATATTGTATGATTCCACTTAAATGAAGTTATCTAGACTAGGCAAATTCATAAAGACAGAAAGTAGGTTAGAGACTATCAGAGGCTGGGGGTAATAGGGAAATGATTGCTTATTGGGTATAGAGTTTCTGTTTGGGGTGATGAAAAAGTTTTGGAACTAGATACTGTAGTAGTGATGGTTACCCAACATTGTGAATGTAATTAATGCCATATAATTGTACACTTAAAAATGGTTAAAATGGAATTTTTTAAGACAGAGTCTCGCTCTGTCGTCCAGGCTGAAGTGCAGTGTAGCTATATCGCTCGCTGCAACCTCCGCCTCCTGGGTCCAAGTGATTCTCCTGCCTCAGCCTCACGAGTAGCTGGGATTACAGGCGCCTGCTACCATGCCTGGCTAATTTTTGTATTTTTAGTAGACATGGGCTTTCACCATGTTGGCCAGGCTGGTCTCGAACTCCTGACCTCTGGTGATCCATCTGCCTCAGCCTCCCAAAGTGCCGGGATTACAGGCATGAGCCACCATGCCCTTTCAGAAATTTTTATGCTATATATAGTTTACCACAATAAAAAAGTTTGGCCCAATCTAAAGTTACACTTCTTTTTCCCTAATCTATTATCCATAGAATCAATTCTCACACATATTATGGAAGTTTCTTTTCTTTTTCTTTTTTTGTAGACATGGTCTCACTCTGTCACCCATATTGAGATTTCTGCCAATATAAATTAACTATATCTTCTTATTTGTGTGTGTGCTTTCTTCTCATAGGTTTGACTTTACTTCCTAGGACACGCAGTAATCTGAATTCAGTAATGGATCTGGAGGCAGCAAAAGATAATATGGGTGGATCTTGAAAAGATTAGCCAGTGAGAGGGTTCTCAAGTCAGGCAGGACCAGCCCCAGAGACTGGGGAAGAAGGGCTGCTTCTGCTGCCAAGGGAGACTCAGTGAGGGTTGGGGTTTAGGGTGCTCAGATCAATCCAAATCAATCCTGATGTTCCTATTTCTATTCTCAAGGTCCCATTTTTCCCTAATCAGTGGCCATGTTTTTGCCTGTGAGACCTGGAGAGCCTGTGAATTCAACCTGCGTTGTAGTTCAGCAACCTCCAGGATTTGGTTTTATGTCTCATTTCAGGCTACATCAGTCCTGTGCCTGGAAGATGTATATGTATATATAAGTATGCATGTATACACACACACATATATATGTGTGTATATATACGTGTGTGTGTGTGTGTGTGTTTTTAGTAGAGATGGGGTTTTCACTATGTTAACCAGGCTGGTCTCAAACTCCTGACCTCCAGTGATCCACCCACCTCAGCCTCCCAAAGTGCTGGGATTACAGGCTTGAGCCACCACACCTGGCTCAGATTGCCTTCTTTCACTTATTAGTATGCATTTAAGTTTCTTCCATGTCTCTTGGTGGCTTGATAGCTCACTTACATTTATTGCTGAATAACGTTCCATTGTCTGAATGTACCACAGTTTATCCATTTACTTACTGAAGGGCATCTTGGTTTCCAAGTTTGGGCATAAATATCTATTGCATGTTTTTATGTAGACATAAGTTTTCAAATCACTTGGGCAAATACCAAAGAGTGTGATTGCTGAATGGTAAGATAAGAGTATGTTTTGTTTTGTAAGAACCTGCCAAACTGTCTTCCAAAGTGGCTGAACCATTTTGCATTCCCACCAGCAATGAATGAGAGTTCCCGTTGCTCCACATCCTCATTGGCATTTGGTATTGTCGGTGTCCTGGATTTTGGCCATTCTAATAGGTATGTGGTGGTATCTCATTGTAATTTGCAAACCTTAATGACATTTGATGTGGTGCATCTTTTCACATACTTATTTGCCATCTGTATATCTTCTTTGGTAAGGTGTCTGTTTAGGTCTTTTGCCCTTTTTCTTTTTTATGAGGTGGGGTCTTGCTATGTTGCCCAGGCTCATTTCAAACTCCTCAGTCAAGTGATCCTCCTGCCTCAGCCTCTCAAGTAGCTGGGACTACATGCATGTGCCACCATGCTAGGTGTCTTTTGCCTGTTTTTAAATTGGGATGTTCATTTTCTTATTGTTGAGTTTTAAGAGTTATTTATGTGTCTTAGATAAAAATACTTTATCAGATATGTCTTCTGCAAATATTTTATACCGGTCTGTAGTTTCTTTTCTCATTCTCTTGACAGTGACTTTTTTTTTTATCCTTTAAAATATTTAATCAAAATTAAATTAATTATATTTAATTAAATTTAATTTCCAGGATACATGTGCAGGATGTGCAAGTTTGTTATATAGGTAAATGTATGCCATGGTGGTTGGCTGCACCTGTCAACCCATCACCTAGGTATTAAACCCACATGCATTAGCTATTTTTTTATAAATTGCATTTTAGATTTTGGGGTACATGTGAAGAACATGCAAGATTGTTGCATAGGTACAAACATGGCAGTGTGGTTTGCTGCCTTCCTCCCCTTCACCTATATCTGGCATTTCTCCCCATGCTATCTCTCTCCACCTCCCCACCCCCCCGTCCCTCCCCCATTTCCCCCCAACAGACCCCAGTGTGTAGTGCTCCCCTCCCTGTGTCCATGTGTTCTCATTGTTCAACACCCACCTATGAGTGAGAACATGCAGTGTTTGATTTTCTGCTCTTGTGTCCGTTTGCTGAGAATGATGGTTTCCAGGTTCATCCATGTCCCTACAAAGGACATGAAAAACCAGCTCCTGGATTTATTGATTTTTTGAAGGGTTTTTTGTGTCTCTATCTCCTTCAGTTCTGCTCTGATCTTAGTTATTTCTTGTCTTTTGCTAGGTTTTGAGTTTTTTTGATCTTGCTCCTCTAGCTCTTTCAATTTTGATGCTAGGATTTCAATTTTAGATCTCTCCTTGCTTCTCATGTGGGCATTTATTGCTATATATTTTCCTTTAGAGACTGCTTTAAATGTGTCGCAGAGATTCTGGTATGTTGTGTCTTCATTCTCATTGGTTTCGAAGAACATCTTTATTTCTGCCTTCATTTCATTGTTTATCCTGTCAACATTCAAGAGCCAGTTGTTAAGTTTCCATGAAGCTGTGCGGTTCTGAGTTAGTTTCTGCATTCTGACTTCTTACTTGATTGCACTGTGGTCTGAGATACTATTTGTTATGATTTCCGTTCTTTTGCATTTGCTGAGGAGTGATTTATTTCCAATTATGTGGTCAATTTTAGAGTAGGTGTGATGTGGTGCTGAGAGAATATATATTCTGTGGATTTGGGGTGGAGAGTTCTGTAAATGTCTATTAGGTTTGCTTGTTCCAGGTCTGAGTTCAGGTCCTGGGTATCCTTGTTAATTTTCTGTCTGGTTGATCTGTCTAATATTGACAATGGGGTGTTAAAGTCTCCCACTATTATTGTGTGGGAGTCTAAGTCTCTTTGTAAGTCATTAAGAACGTGCCTTATGTATCTGGGTGCTCCTGTATTGGGTGCGTATATATTTAGGATCGTTAGCTCTTCTTGTTGCATTGATCCTTTTACCATTATGTAATGTCCTTCTTTGTCTCTTTTGATCTTTGTTGCTTTAAAGTCTATTTTATCAGAGATGAGAATTGCAACTCCTGCTTTTTTTTTGCTCTCCATTTGCTTGGTAAATCTTCCTCCATCCCTTTATTTTGAGCCTTTGTGTATCCTTGCGTGTGAGATGGGTTTCCTGGATACAGCACACCGATGGGTTTTGGCTTTTTATCCAATTTGCCCTTCTTTGTCTTTTGATTGGGGCATTTAGTCCATTTACATTTAGGGTGAATATTGTTATGTGTGAATTTGATGCTGCCATTTTGATGCTAGCTGGCTGTTTTGTTCGTTAGTTGATGCAGATTCTTGATTGTGTTGATGCTCTTTACCATTTGGTATGTTTTTGGAGTGGCTGGTACTGGTTGTTCCTTTTTATGTGTAGAGCCGCTTTCAGGAGCTCTTGTAAAGCAGGTCTGGTGGTGATGAAATCTCTGATTACTTGTTTGTTCGCAAAGGATTTTATTTTTCCTTCACTTATGAAGCTTAGTTTGGCTGGATAGGAGATTCTGGGTTGAAAGTTCTTTTCTTTAAGGATGTTGAATATTGGCCCCCACTCTCTTCTGGCTTGTAGGGTTTCTGCTGAGAGATCTGCTGTGAGTCTGATGGGCTTCCCTTTGTGGGTAACCCGACCTTTCTCTCTGGCTGCCCTTAGTATTTTCTCCTTCATTTCAATCCTGGTGAATCTGACGATTATGTGCCTTAGGGTTGCTCTTCTTGAGGAATATCTTTGTGTTGGTCTCTGTATTTCCTGGACTTGAATATTTTCCTGCCTTGCTAGGTTGGGGAAGTTTTCCTGGATAATATCCTGAAGAGTATTTTCCAGCTTGGACTCATTCTCTTCGTTGCATTCAGGTACGCCTATCAAACGTGGATTAGGTCTTTTCACATAGTCCCACATTTCTTGGAGACTTTGTTCATTCCTTTTTACCCTTTTTTCTCTATTCTTGCCTTCTCGTTTTATTTCATTGAGTTGATCTTCGACCTATGATATCCTTTCTTCTGCTTGGTCAATTCGGCTGTTGAAGCCTGTGCATGCTTTGTGAAGTTCTCATGTTGTGTTTTTCAGCTCCATCAATTCACTTATATTCCTCTCTATGTTGTCCATTCTCGTTAGCATTTCATCGAATCTTTTTTCAAAGTTCTTAGTTTCTTTGCATTGGGTTAGAACATGTTCTTTTAGCTCACTGTAGTTTCTTATTACCCACCTTCTGAAGTCTGATTCTGTCATTTCATCACACTCCTTCTCCATCCAGCCTTGTTCCCTTGCTGGTGAGGAGGAGAACACCTCCCTTTTAGGAGGAGAGGTGTTCTGGTTTCGGGTATTTTCATCCTTTTTGCGCTGGTTTCTTCCCGTCTTTGTGGGTTTATCCACCTGTTGTCTTTGTAATTACTGACTTTCAGATTGGGTCTCTGAGTGAACTTCCAGTTTGTGGATGCTGAAGTTACTTCTTTTTCTTAGCTTTCCTTCTAACAGTCTGGCCCCTCTGCTGTAGGACTGCTGAGGTCCACTCCAGGCCCTGCTTGCTGGAGGATCACCTGCAGCAGCTGCAGAACAGTAAGGGTTCCTACCAGTTTCCTCTTCTGCTTTGTCCCAGAAGGATGCCCGCCAAATGTCAGTCTGTTCTCTCCTTTATGAGGTGAGTCCTTGGATATACGGGGGTCAGGGAGCTGCTTGAGGAGACAGTCTATCCTTTATTGGAGCTCAAGTCCTGAGCTGTGAGCTCCATTGTTCATTCAGAGTTGCTGGGCAGGTATGTTTAGGTCTGCTGCAGCAGAACTCATAAACTCACTTTTTTTTTTTCCCTCCAGGTGCTCTGTCCCAGGGAGTTAGGGCTTTATTTATGAGTTTCCGTTGTGCTGCTGCCTTTTTTTTTCTTTCAGGGCTGCCCTGCCCAGCTAGGAGGCAGCCTAGTCACTGTCTGCCTGCAGAGGCTTTGCTGAGCTGCTGTGGGCTCCACCCAGCTGCCGTGTGATCTTCCCTGCAGTCCTGTTTATATGGGTGTAGTTAGAACTGCCTTGGCAATGGTGGCTCGCCTCTGTTATGGCGGACTCTCCCTGTAGTGGCAGGTTGCCTCGGTGACGGTGGGTTGCCTCAGCAATGGCGGGCTGCCTCAGCGATGGTCAGACTGCCTCCATCCGTAGTGGTGGAGTGTCTCAGTAATGGCGGACGCCCCTCCCCCTCAGAGCCGGACCATCCCGGGTTCAGCTGTGCTTGCTGTGAAACTCAGCCCAGAGCGTTTTCAATTACTGTTTTTGTTTTTTGTGGGGTGGGGGCGGTGGGACCAGCTGAGCCTGATCACCTGGCTCCCTGACTCAGAGTCTTTTTTTGTTGTTGTTGAACGGTCGACTGTCTCCCAGTGTTCCAGTCGCCTGTTGAAAAGGCACCGGGATCTCCTGTGCCGCGACTCACTGAGCCAGCTGAAACAGCGGCGCTGAGATTCCTGGCAGTTTTTTTGCCTAGGAATCTCCTGGGCTGGCTCGCTATTTCAGATGAATGGGCGACTCTGCCGTCTCAGAGCTCCAATCGCCAGCTAAGAGGGCACTCGGACCAGTGTCTTTTGTACGGAGAACCGCCGCGCCAGGGCGTGGGCAAAGCGGCCGCGTTGGCTGAAACAGCTGCGTGCCAGCCGAAACAGCTGCGCTGGCAACCCATGGGGCTCCTCCGCCTGGGAATCTCCTGGTCTGTGGGCAATAAAAATCTGTCTGGAAATGAGGCGTCCCCTCACCCTCTGCACTTTCACTGGGAGCTGCAATCCTGAGCTGTTCCTAGTCGGCCATCTTCCTCTACGGTCCCTTTTTTTTTTTTTTTTTTTTTGAGAGGGATTCTCTGTCATCCAGGCTGAAGTGCAATGGCATGATCTTGGCTCACTGCAACCTCCGCCTCCCAGGTTCAAGCGACTCTCCTGCCTCAGCCTCCGGAGTAGCTGAGATTAGGCACCCGCCACCACGCCCAGCTAATTTTTCTATTTTTGTATTTTTTTTTTTTTTTTTGGAGATGGAGTTTTGCTCTTATCACCCAGGCTAGAGTGCAATGGCACCATCTTGGCTCACTGCAACCTCCACCTCCCAGATTCAAGCGATTCTCCTGCCACAGCCTCCTGAGTAGCTGGGACTACAGTTGCCTGCCACCACATTTGGCTGAATTTTGTATTTTTGGTAGAGACAGAGTTTTACCATGTTGGCTAGGCTGGTCTCGAACTCCTAACCTCAGGCAATCCACTCACCTCAGCCTTTCAAAGTGCTGGGATTACAGGCGTGAGCCATCATGCCTGGCCAACAGTGTCTTTTGCAGAGCAGAAGTTTTTAATCTGAATGAAGTCCAGCTTATCAATCATTTCTTTCATGTATCATGCCTTTGGTGTTGTACCTAAAAAGTCATTGCCATACCCAAGGGCACTTACTTACATGTTCTCCTATGTTATCTTCTAGGGGTTTTATAGTTTTGCATTTTACATTTAGGTGTATGATCCACTTTGAGTTAATTTTTTGAAGGGTGTAAAGGAGATTTCTTTTTTGAGGGCAGTGAAATAAGCTCCCCAGTGTCTGACCATGCCTTGAACTAGAAGCTTAAAACCATGATCTTGCCTTTACAAAGTTTTTCCTTAATTATGCCAGCAATATGTATTTTTGTTGTTCATAAATGGTCAAAAGATACTACCTATTATTAGACTAAAACAAGGTATAGCTTCTCAAACGCAGCATCACCTAGAGACAAAGAGTGAAAAGGCCAGTCATGTGTATACTTTAAAACACCCGTATATACACATATACCCTCAGGTCCAATACAGGCAAATGTTCTCCATGCTTTGCTTTGAAAGCAGGAAACATTGAGTTGCAGAGGTTCTAAAATACAGAACATATTGAACACATCCCAGGCATTTAAAAAATGCACTGAAATAGCAGGAATAAAGTTTTTTTTCTGGCCAGTCATGGTGGCTTAGACTTATAATCCCAACACTTTGGGAGGCCAAGGCAGGAGGATCGCTTGAGCCCAGGAGTTCAAGACCAGCCTGGGCAACATAGTGAGACCCTGTCTCAACAAAAAATAAAATTATTAGCTGGGCATAGTACCATGCACCTATAGTCCCAGCTGCTCTGGAGGTTGAAGTAGGATGATTGCTTGAGAACAGGAGGTTGAGGCTACAGTGAGCAGTGATCACACCACTGCACTCCAGCCTTAGTGACAGAGTGAGACTCTGAAAAATAAGTTTTTTTCTTAAAATATTTTGATCCAAGCCAAATCAAAGAGTACATTAGAACAGACCGGAAAGACGTGTACAAGTAGACCTGTTTCCTTCTCAAACATTTAACAATTATTAAACATAGTTGAGTCCGTTGAAACCAAATGATATAACTGATTAGTACTCCAAACAAGAATCTGTTGTTTCTTAGTGTCTTTGCATAGAAGTTTCACAGATGCAGGGACTTTACTTACCCGAAAGATCATTCCTGTTACATTTAGAGGGCATTCATACATTGTTTCCTGTTTTATTTGCCTTTTAAAATTGTGAAACATGACACATACAGGAAAGGTTACGTGTAAACATTTTTTTTTTTTTTTTTTTTGAGAAAGAGTCTTCTTCTGTTGTCCAGGCTAGAGTGCAGTGCAGTGGTGCAATCTCAGCTCACTGCAACCTCCACCTCCCAGGTTGAAGCGATTCTCCTGCCTTAGCTTCCCTAGTAGCTGGGACCACAAGTGCCCATCACTGCGCCTGGGCTTTTTTTTTTTTTTTTTTTTTTTTTTTTTTTTTTTAATAGAGACGGGGTTTCACAATGTTGGGCAGGCTGGTATCGAACTCCTGACCTCATGTGATCCACCTGCCTCAGCCCCCCAAAGTGCTGGGATCACAAGTGTGAGCCACCGCGCCCAGCCAAATCGATTTTTTAAAGAGATAAGGTCTCACACTGTTGCCGAAGGTGTCTCAAACTCCTGTCCTCAGATAATCGTCCTGCCTCAGTCTCCCAAAGTGTTGAAGATTACAGTCATGAGGCAGTGCACTCAGCCTGTGTAAACATATCTTAACAAGCAACTACCTAGGTCAAGAAAAAGAAAATTACCAAAGCGAAAAGCTTCCCTGCATGTCCTGTTCTTATCACAACTCCCTCTCCCCAGCTCAGAAATAATGAGTACCTGACATATTTTTATCTTTTAAAAACTTTTTATTATGAAAATGTCTGAATGTAAACAAAAGTACAGTATGCTAAAATTCCCATGTATTCATCATCAAGCTTCAACCACGTTTTGTCACATTTGTTTCCTATAACCACCTTTCTCTCTGTATCCCTCCCTCTTCCCCCCCTCCCTCTCTTTCCTGGACTGTTTTAAAGCAAACCCCAGATATTATGTCACTTCATCCCTAAGAACTTAAGCATGCACCTAAAAAAGAAGACATTTCCTTATGTAATTACAAAACCATTAGTAACCTAACAAAATTCACAATCATTCCTTACTGTCATCATAGTCAAATGAATGTCACTAGGTTCAGGTGTTCCAAAATTAACTAAAAACATACTTTGAAAAATTATGGACAAATTAAAAAAACATTTTTTTTAGATGCAGGGTCTTGTTTCATCACTCAGGCTGGAGTGCAGCACAATCATAACTCACTGTAATCTCAAACTTCTGGGCTTCAGTCTTCCTCCAGCGTCAGCCTCCCGAGTAGCTGGGACTACAGGCGTACACCACCACACAGGGCTAATTTTTAAAAAAATTTTTTTCAGAGCAGTTGTGAAAGTTTATTTAAAAGCCTTAGAACAGTAAGGAAAGGAAAGAAAAGAAGGAAAGTACAACTTGGAAGAGGCCCAGGTGGGTGACTTAAGAAATGAAGTGCCCCTAATTTGAATTGTTTTGCTTTGTTGCAGTCTGCTCTCCAACTTCCAGCCTCAAGTGATCCTTCCATCTCGGCCTCCCAAAGTGCTGGGATGACAGGTGTTAGCCACCATACCCGGCCAAAATAGATCTTTTAATAGTTAGATTGTTTGATTCAGGATTCAAACATTGACTTTTACGGTCACCACTTCCTTACTTTTCTTTAACATTTTACCACCTAAGCATGACTTCCTATTTGTTTAGTTTAGATTTTCCTGTTTTTATTAACATCATAGAGTCATACAGCATGTATTCTTTTGTGTTTGGTTTCTTTCATTTAACATTATACTTTTAAGGTTTATCCATACTTTAACATATAGCTGTGCTTTATCTTCTTGCCTGTATAGTATTGAAATCAACCCAGTTTTCCCCCTGAACTGAAACTTGAGAAACTTACATTTGTTTTTATCTGAGTTCATTTCTCAGGAAACCAACCATCAGGCCTCCCAGAAAGAATTGAAGAACCAAAACTTCCCATATCACCACATCCAGACAACGAGACACACCTGCCGCCTGTTGACCAACTCCTCTTCTTTATACCTCCTGAATTTCTGTTTTCCTGCATATGGTTATGGTGAGACAACAGATCCCTCATCCAACCACGTGCTGCCTGTTGACCAGCTTCTCTTCCTTACCCTTCCCTAATTCTTGTTTTACATTCCTTCCCTACTATATAAACTGCTAATTTAGTAAGTTGGAGAGATGAATTTGAGACTGGTCTCCCATCTCCTGGCTGACGCTGGCATTAAAGCCGTTCTTCCCTGGCAATACTAATCTCAGTGATTGGCTTTCTGTGCATCAAGTAACCAGACCTAGGCCAAACCCCTGGTGTTCGGCAACAGTATTTCATTGTATGAATCTACAATAATATATCAACTCTAATTTTGAAAGGCATCTGGAGCATTCTGATTTGGGGCTGTATAAACAATGCTGCAAGAACATTTTTGTACATATTTCCTAGTATACATAAGCATACGTTTATTTATTTTATTTATAGGCTCACTGCAACCTCTGCCTCCCAGGTTCAAGCCAATCTCCTCCCTCAGCCTCCTGAGTAGCTGGGACTACAGGTGTGAACCACCACGCCCAGCTAATTTTTGTATTTTTAGTAGAGATGGGGTTTCACCAAGTTGACCAGACTGATCTCAAACTTCTGACCTCAGATGATCCACCCTTCGTGGCCTCCCAAAGTGCTGTGCTGGGATTACAGGCGTGAGCCACTGTGCCTGACCATAAGCATACATTTTTGTAGGGTGTATGACTTATTGGGACAAAAGGTATACACATCTTTAACTTTTCTAGCTAGTGTCAAACTTTTCTGAAGCAGTTTTACTCCAACCAGCAGAGTATGAAAGATTCTATTATTCCACATATTTCCCAACCCTTGGAACAGTCAATTTTAAATTTTTGCCAAGCTGAGGATTGTAAAATGGTATCTCAAGTGGGTTAAATTGGCATTTTCCTGATATCTAATGAAGTTGAGCACCTTTAATATTTTTTTTCTTTTTAGAGACAGGGACTTGTTCTGTTGCCCAGGCTGGAATGCAGTGGCATGATCATAGCTCATTGTAGCCTCATACTACAGGGCTGGGCTCAAGCAGTCCTCCTGCCTCAGGCTCCTAAGCAGCTGGGACTACAGACATGCCACTATCATGCCTGGATATTAAAAAACATTTTTTGTAGAGATGGTCTTGATAATGTTGCCCAGGCTGGTCTTGAACTCCTGGCTTCAACTGGTCCTCCCACCTGGGCTTCCCAGGTTGCTGGGATTGCAGGCATGAGCCACCACACCAGGCCTACCTTTTCATATTTTTTACTGGCCATTTGAGTACTCTCTTGTAAAATGCCTGTTCAACTCTTTGGCATATTTTTCTATTGATTATCTATCTTTCTCTTGTTGAATTGCAGAACTGTAGAACTTCATCTTACAATCTGGATATGGAATCTGATTTTAAGTGATGCAGACATGTTTTCCCATTTTGTGGCTTTCCTTTGCACTGTTTATGGTCTCTGGGTGAAGAAGTTATTATTTTTGATGGAGTCAATTTTATCGGTCCTTTCCTTTCGTGATTTGTACTTTTGGTGTCTTAAGAAATCGTTTACCATCCCAGGTCCAGCATGGTGGCTCATGCCTGTAATCCCAGCACTTTGGGAGGCCAAGGTGGGAGGATCACTTGAGGCCAGGAGTTTGAGACCAGGCTGGTCAATGTAGCAAGACTCCTGTCTCTATTTTTTAAAAAAGACATCTTTTACTATTCTAATGTCAAGAATATTTTCCTGTGTTGCCTTCTTTGCTTTTCACACTTAGGTCTATAATGTACCGGGAATTATTTGATTTTTAAAAAATGTATGATGTGAACTAAATAGCCAATTTAGTTTTAGTTGTTTTTTTTTTTTTTTTAAACTGGACACCTAATTGTCCCAGTACCATTTGTTGAAAAGATTGCCCTGCTTCTACAGCTCTATGGGACACATTTTTGATAAATCAAGTATGCATGGATTCATTTTTCTTTTTCTTTTTTTTTTTGAGATGGAATCTCACTCTGTCACCCAGGCTGGAGTGCAGTGGCACGATCTCAGCTCACAACAACCTCCATCTCCTGGGTTCAAGCAATTCTCCTGCCTCAGCCTCCCAAGTAGCTGAGATTATAGGCATCTGCCACCATACTTGGCAAATTTTTGTATTTTTAGTAGAGTTAGGGTTTCACCACGTTGGCTAGGCTGGTGTTGAACTCCTGACTTCAGGTGATCCTTCCACCTCGGCTGCCCAAAGTGCTGGAATTACAGGCATGGGCTACCATGCCTGGCAGGATTCACTTTTCTTTGTGCCAATACTATACGTTTTTTGTTTTTTTTTTTCTGAGACACAGTTTCACTCTTGTCGCCCAGGCTGGAGTGCAATGGCGTGATCTTGGCTCATGGCAGCATCCACCTTCCTGTTTCAAGTGATTCTCCTGTCTCAGCCTTCTGAGTAGCTGGGATTACAGGCGTGTGCCACCATGCCCAGCTAATTTTTTTGTATTTTTAGTAAAGACAGGGTTTCACCATGTTGGCCAGGCTGGTCTCAAACTTCTGACCTCAGGTGATCCTTCTACCTCAGTTGTCCAAAGTGCTGGGATTACAGGCATGAGCCACTGCGCCCGGCTGCCAATACAGCAGTCTTAATTACTATAGCTTTATTTAAAAAAAAACAAAACAACAATAAAAAACCCTTAACATCTGAGAGAGCAAGTCCTCCGTCCTAGTTCTTCAGGAGTCATGGCTATTCTTAACCTTTTTCATTTATATTAATATATACATTTTAGAATCAGTCAAGTTCCACCAAAACAAACCAACCAACCAATCCATAAGGGTTTAATTGGAATCTGTAGATCAACTTTGGGAGAACTGGCATTCTTGTAATATTTAGTTCACCAGCCTATGCACATGAATATGGTGTATCACTCCACTTATTCACATTTTTTTTTTTTTGAGAGAGAGTCTCACTCTGTCATCCGGGCTGGAGTCCAGTGGCTTGATCACAGCTCATTGCAGCCTTGACCTCCCAGGCTCAAGTGATCCCACTTCAGCCTCCCAAGTCGCTGGGACTACAGGCACCTGGCACTACACCCAGCTAATTTCTAAAAAATTCTGTAGAGACAGAGTCTCACTATGCCCAGGCTACTGTTGTATTCATGGGCTCAAGTGATCTTCCCACATTGGCCTCCCAAAGTGCTGGGATTACAGGTGTTATTTAAATCATCTTTCTTTCTTTGTTTTTTGAGAGAGTCTCACTCTGTCACCTAGCTTAGAGTGCAATAGTGCGATCTTAGTTCACTGCAACCTCCACCTCCCAGGCTCAAGCGATCCTCCTGCGTCAGCTTCCCAAGTAGTTGTGACTACAGGCATGCAGAAATTTTTGTATTTTTTGCAGAGACAGGGCTTCACCATGTTGCCCAGGGTGATCATCTTCTTTAATCTCTTTTGCAAGTTCTAGAGTTTTCTCCAGAAAGGATTTACACATCCTCTGTTAGACTTACTTCTGAGATCTCTAGGTAATTGATTTTTAAATGCTATTTAAATGGTAATTTTTTTTGTTTTGTTTTTTAGCTGTATTTGTTGTATATAGAAATACAATAGACTTTGTAAACTGATTTTGTATTCAGCAAACTTTATTCCTGGGATATTTATCTCCATTCTTCAAACATTTTCTTGTATTTATTTATTTATTTATTCTTTGCTATTATCAAAATGCTGACACTTCTCCATTTCTGTTTTTTTTTTTTTTTTTTTTTTTTTTTTCGGAGTTTTAATATTTTTTTTCTTGTCCTTTTTTTTTTTTTTTTTTTTTTTTTTTTTTTTGGGACGGAGTTTCGCTCTTGTTACCCAGGCTGGAGTGCAATGGCGCGATCTCGGCTCACCACAACCTCCGCCTCCTGGGTTCAGGCAATTCTCCTGCCTCAGCCTCCTGAGTAGCTGGGATTACAGGCATGCACCACCATGCCCAGCTAATTTTTTGTATTTTTAGTAGAGATGGGGTTTCACCATGTTGACCAGGATGGTCTCGATCTCTTGACCTCGTGATCCACCCGCCTCGGCCTCCCAAAGTGCTGGGATTACAGGCTTGAGCCACCGCGCCTGGCCGTTTTCTATATTTTTATTCTTTCCTGCTGCTTTCTGGGAGAGGTCCTCAGTCTGATCTTCCAATTCACTCATTCATTCTTCATCTGTGGTCAATCTATTTACCCCATCTATTGTGTTCTTTCTTTGAACTATATATTTTTCATAGCTAATATTTTCACTTTTCCATGTCTGAAGGAAGGTGAGGGAAGATCCCGGAGAAGGTGATTATGAACTGTCTGGAGAGATGAATAGGGGTTTCTCTGGTCGTGAGAGGGAGGAGAATCCAACTGGGAGTTCAGCAGTAGCTAAGGCCTGGAAACCAGACAGCGGGCTCCGGCTTATCCTGCTGGGAATGGCTGGGGCACGGGAAGTAAGACGGGAAGGAGATCAGGTGGAGAAAGGCAGGGCTTTATATTTTATAGGGCCAGTGCCATTGAAGCTTGTGGTTATCCTGACTTGTGACCCCTGAAGACTGTGGTGGCCTCCAGAAAGATGGCAGCTTCAAGGCAGTGTTGGTCACCCAGCTCTTTGAGGTGAAGAAACTCACCTGCCCCCACCACCACATCATGCTCCAGCACCATCTCCCGTCCCTTCCCACCTGCCAGAAGGTCCATCTTTCTTTCCTCTCTCTCTCTTTCTTTTCTGAGTCTCTGTCGCCCAGGCTGGAGTGCAGTGGCACAATCTCGGCTCACTGCAACCACCGCCTCCCAGGTTCAAGTGATTCTCCTGTCTCAGCCTCCTGAGTAGCTGGGATTACAGGTGTCCATCATCACGCCTGGCTAATTTTTGTATTTTTAGTAATAACAGGGTTTCAGCATTTTGGCCAGGCTGGTCTCGAACTCCTGACTTCAGGTGATCTACCCACCTCGGCCTCCCAAAGTGCTGGGATTACAGGCTTGAACCACACTGCGCCTGGCCTTGTCTTACCTTTCTTGAGTAGGCAGGTTAAGTGGAGAAGGGTACCCAGTCCAGAGGGGTTTAGGAGCTCAGGTTGGCTACGGAGAGATTCAAGCTCTGCAGATGCCTTCAGGCCACCTCTTCTCTGGCTATTTTATTCCCCCAACTACCACCAGGAGGTGCTGCTGGGATTGATCCCCTTCCTGCCCTTTACTTGGCATTTAGGCCTCATTCTCTTCTGAGGACCTCTCTTCTAGCATCTCCCTGCCCTTGGACGATGGCATCCCGTTTGGTCCTAGGATCAGCTCCAAACAGGAAGGCAGGTAAACAGCCAGACCCTTCCCCTAGACTAAGACTTAGGGACAGGCCGAGTCAGCGCCTGGTGCATCCATTACTTCCTGCTGCTCCTAACTGCAGACAGACATGAGAGTCCGCAGCTGGGCCTGTCCTGCTATGTGACCTGCCCAACCTGTAGCTTGGCCTGGAACAACGCTAATACTGACCCCTCTACATAACCAACCACTGCAGACCAAAAGCAGAGGCCCAAGGGAGCAGAAACGATCCCAGGAGGAGCAGGCACATTGAGGGGTACTCAGATGGGAAGGGCCACCCACCTAGGAGTTGCTGAACTGCCTGGGTGCGAGGCCTCCCTGTGTCTCCATACAGACATCCCTCTGGCTGTTTCTGATTCTGATTTGGTGGGGGTTCGAGGGTGGTGAGAAGGATGGGAAGGGGGATTGGTAAAAATGTGTTACTTTGTATTTATTTCATATAGTTATTACAAAAAAAATAAATTTGTATATTTAAATAAACGACATTTTTAATGACATACTCGAGCGTCTTTTATGAATATACGTTTTATATAAGTTTTTTTTTGTGTATAGCTGCAAACAGCTATACCCAATTCCTGATCAAGACTTTTTACTAATGATCTAAAATTCCTATTAATGAGAAATGACTGTTGTTCAGGCAGGTAGTGGTAAATGGAAAAGGAGAATTTACCTATGTTTCCACCCATTACCAGGATTTTCATTTCATTCTTGAAATCATTTAAATCTAGTTAATAGTTTTTAAATAATAATTCTTTCCTCAAGTTATTCGCAGATGTTACTCTACCCCTTTTGCTACAAAACGAATGTTTGTCCCTCTTCCCCCAAATTCACAGATGGAAATCAAATCCCCCATATGATGGTATCTGCAGGTGTAGGGCCTTTGGTAGGTGAATAGGTCACGAACGTGGAGCCCCATGGATGGGATTAGTGCCCTTAATAATAAGAGTACCAAGAGAGACCCCTTGCCCCTTCTACCGAGTGGGGAGACAGTGAGAAGGTGCCATCTATGAACCAGAAAGTGGCCCCTCACCAGACGCTGAATCTGCTGATGCCTTGATCTTAGACTTCCCAGCCTCCAGAACTGTGAGAAATAAATTTTTGTTCTTTTTAAGTCACCCAGTCTATGGTGGTTTGTTACAGCAGCCTTTTAATAACTTTATGATTCAAACTATAACAGCAACAGCACCTGGAAACCATTTTCACCTCATTTTTTTTTGTTTCTGATTAAGTGCTTGCTCACTTTTCCAAAGTTGAATTTTTGCTTTGAACCCCAAATCTTTGTCAGTTCACATTAATTTTGACATGGTCCTTCCAAACTTCTATTAGGTATATTCAGGGATCCAAAAAGTCAGCTAATCTATCCATAGATCTGCCAGGTGAGAATCATTCAAGGAAAAAATTTTTACCTTTTATATCTTTTTGCTCACAAACTTTAAAAAATATTTTTCCTTTGGATCAACTCCCACACTTAAGTATGAAATAGCAGAGAGGGATGTTCTGATCCCTTGTCTTTACACAAAGCTGAAAACAGGTGAGAGGTTAGTGCCTTATATGTAATTAGATTCTGAGTATGATACTGATAGTATCATTTCCTGTGGAAATCAGATAGAAAGGCAAACTCTTACAAATGAGTGATTCTCTGTGTGAAACAGTGAATGAAATAATGTATTACTTGAATCTCAGGGTTTTCAGAATAAATTATAAATGCAAAGCTTTTACATCTTCTATCACTGTTCCTTCACTCACTACACAGACTTGTTTTTAAAACATTCATAAACATGAAATGCATGTTCCTGGTTTGGATCATCTTGCTAAAAATTATGAGATTATTATGATAATAGGTATAATTTGGATAGGGTCTGAGGACAAGGTGTTAGTAATGTACCAACATTAATTTCATGACATTGATGGGTACATTGTGGTTATGCTGGAAAATGTACTTGTTTGTAGAAAATGCACACTAAAATATTAAGAAATGATGGGCACCAGGTCTGTAACTTACTCTCAAATGGTTCAGGAAAAAAGTTATCTGTATTGCCCTTGCAACTTTTAACTTTGTGATACCTTCAAAACATACAATAATTTATGATTTATTCCTAAAAATAATTTGTGAATTATTGACTATTTTGACCTGGAATAGTCGGCTTGGCATTGTTACCTCTCTTGATAATAAAATGTCTGGAAATCAGACATTCAGGTTGAAGAGTGACAGCTTGTCAGGCATCCAAAACAAAAGTTGAGATGATCCTCATGACTTAAGCATCATTTGTGGACATTTGAGTTAGTCTTGGAAATGTGATGACATTCCAGCTTCACTCCAAAAGTTGTACAGTATGGTACTGTGAGGATTAATTTTATGTATCAAGTTGAATATGCCATTGGTGCCCAGATATTTGGTCAAATATTATTCTGGGTGTTCTGTGAGGATATTTTTGGATGAGGTTAACATACATACATACATACATAATTTATTTATTTGACAGGGTCTAAGTCGGGCTGGAGTGCAGTGGTGCAATTTCAGCTCACTGCAGCCTCGACCTCTCTAGTCGAGGGTGATTGTTATATGTAAATTTGTGGTGCCGCAAAAGAAGTAGCACTTGAATATAAATTTAATTTTTCTCAGCAAGGCAACTTTACTCTGTACAGAAAGGGTGCTCCTGTTAGTCACCTTGCCACAAGAGGACACTGTACAAAGAAGGCAGGGCCACTTTTATCTAACGCATCTACCCTATTGCTGTGTCCTCATTCCATTGGCTGGAACTGGACTTCACAGTCTAAGCTGCACCCGGTTGGCTAACTTAAAGCTTTCCTAAAGAGGTAAACGCAGAGGAGAACAAAGGAAAAGAGGAAGTAACCTGAGGAATGCTTACAGAAGCAACAACATTTTCAAATAAGGAAGGGGAATAAGCTATGACCTTAGATTTGCCTGGGCTTGTCCAGGCTTCCCAGGGCAAATATCTAGGTTAAAGTGTAAGAACTAAGAACGCAGGAAATATTTATTTCTTTATTATGACTAACAGCTACTTTAAGATTATTAGCCGAAGCTTTAAATTAACCTTTGAAAAAACTATTATTTATTTGTAATGAACTGAGGAAAGCTTTGAAGAGGAACATTTTATTATTTCCTACAATTCTTCCCTTTTTCTATTTTATAGTTCCTCTTCAAACTTATTTAACATATCTTGACTCAGTTGTTTGTTCTTCTAAAAGAAGTAATCTATCTCAGTAGGGTTGAGGAGGGGTTGGGGATATTTTAGCAAGAGTTGTGTTTACTAGCCTCTGCACAAGTCCTTGGATGCATGGTATGATACAACATCTAACGAGAAGCAGCATACTTATCACAGTTGCTAGAGAGGTAAGAATTGACGTTATGGTTTCCTTCCATTGACTGAACCGTCTTGTGAGTCAATTTGAATAGGGTTATTGATGCCAGAATTTTTAGCTAGCTCATTTGATAAAGCAGTAAGTCCTTGGAGGGCTTTTGTTATGGTCTCATCAGAAGCGGTGTTGTTTGGAATAACGGCACAACACTGGGTTTTAATCATAACACAAACACCACGTTTCTCCACTAATATCATATCTAGGGCTATTCTGTTGTCCTAGGCCATTTGGCTAGTGGATCTTAATTGTTCAGTTATTCTTTTGACAGCATCTTTAGTATAGTTAACAAACCACTGTTGGTTGTAATAAATGTAGTTTATTCAATCTAAATTCTTGTTACCTACCAAAACAACATTGGCTCAAATCTTGCAGCTATCTGATCTCAGGCTGTAAATTTATCTAGTACTCCTCAAGGAACTCCAATTGCATTTAGATAGACATGGGAATCAAAGGACCTATAAGAAGCTTCTCTTATTTGCCAATGTCATATTTTCTTTTTCTGGTTGATGAAATGCCAGGGTAAAAGGGATAGCAAATTGGATTAGAGTGCAAGTGCTGCTCCAATTATTTGGCAGAGTGTCCAGTTAAGGTCCTCCACAATACCACCATGCATCTGCTCGGGGACGAGTAAGGGCGGACTGATGATCCAGCTCTTGGAAGTGCCTGATTTCACTGCATCCTGTTAAGTTTCCAAGGAACACTAAGTTCTACCCCTGTCATGAGAGACACGAGGCGAACTTCACCTTGGGAGATGGAGGCTGTATGGCCCTCGGGGGCCAACCCGCAGGGTACTGAACCTCGGGAAATAGCAGCGAAATAACTTGGCACAATTTGTTATTCCAAGCAGTGAAATCTTGAAAAAGAGCTACCATATATTCCATGTCCGCTTGATTTGAGGACCATCCAAGTGGAAAGGGGACAACCTGGGCCTCTGGCCTACCAGGGCACACAAGCATAACAGTTGCATTTATTTAAGGTGCGAATGAAATAGTCAATCCATTCTAACCAGGCATTTGCATCTTTATATCCTGTTTCAATGGCTATGGTTTGCCTTAGATCCTCTACTTCTACCACCGAGAGCTTGGTTTTGTCATTGTGTCTAGGAGGGGTGATTGATAAAGAGGTTGAAGGAGCAATAAAGCACATTTCAAAAATTTCTTCTTTCCTGAAATGTCAGCTCCTTTATCATAAATATGACTCAATGAAGGGGAAGAGTTTTCAGATGTTGTAATAACAATAGTAAGCTGTATAGGATTACATTGGTTATATTGAAGGAATAATTCAATATATTAAATACCTAGAAGGAATAATTCCTTTGGTGAAATGGATACATGGTTTTAAGGACTCTCAAAAGCCTGTGGAAGCAGGTCTATCCTAAACCTTTAGTGTTCCATATGACATTGGATCAAGCAGAGCACAGAGATTCTGTTTTAGAGGGACAAGAGTCTGATTCCTACCAATTAATACAGCTACTATTCCTTGGACTACTAGTATCCTTAGAAGAATTCATTATGTCTTTCTAATATGAGGAAGTCTAAGAGGGACAGATAGTTTTCTGAAGTAGTAAGCTGTCATGTAAATCTCCACAAGGTATAACTAAAAAGGCATCAAAAGTAATAACTTGAGGTGAGTTAATCTATTTATATTAATAATAAGATGGGGAGTAGCTAAACGGAAGAAAAGAAAAAGAAAAGATAGACTAAGCTTTTCTTAGCTTTAACTTGGTAGGGTCTGATCCTGGAACGATAGTCCATGATTCTAACAGTGATGGCACTTTCTTGACTCAGGTGTGATGTGTCCATCTCTTTTCAGCTGTACAAACAGTAGTCTTGGTGGTTAGCAGCATGAGGTAGGTTGGTCTCCAGGCTGGAGCTGGTGTACTGGAAATTCTAGGAGTGGTGCCTGTACTAAGAGATCTTTTATAATCTTTGTTAAAGAGCAGGTTAGTGCTTTAAGAAAAACCTGTTGTGCTTTTATTTTAATGTTCAGTTTACAGAAAAACTGGATGATGCGTGTTTAACTTTAGCCAACATGTTTACACACAGAATTTCCTTTACAATTAACATTTCAAAACTTGTTTAAAGTTTCAAAACAAAATTATGCATTTCTTGCATAAATTCCTTTTTATAACATTTTTTACAACTATCATAGACAATCTTAGCTTTCTTTTTTTAAATTGAAAAAAACCTTTTATAAGTTGGGGTTTCACCACGATGGCCAGGCTGGTCTTGAACTCCTGACCTCAGGTGATCCACCCACCTTGGCCTCCCAAAGTGCTAGGATTACAGGAGTGAGCCACCATGCCTGGCCTGACGATGAGGAGGGAGACCCTAGCATTTGGGATTCCCTCCCCCTCTGTCATCCACTGTGCATCTCAATAAGAGAGAGAGAGCAGGCCAGCTGGAGCCTCCTGAATCTCCTTCCTGAAAACAACAGGCTAGACCTTGGGGAAACTCTCCAGAAGGCACTATTTTTACTTAAAACAAGATCAAACCAGAAACTTTTTCACGTGAGTCCTAAAACTGTAAACCGGGGAACCCTTTCATATGTGATTCCTGAAACTGTAAACAGAGACCTTTTCACATGTAAGTCCTAAAACTGTAAACCAAAACCTTTTCACATGTGAGTCCTAAAACTATGAACCTAAGATTCTTCCATGTGTAACATCTAAAGTATAAGCCTATATAAATAGGCTGAACCTTCCTTTGTTAGATGAGCTTGGCTGTTAGGCACCTATGCCACCTTGCTCCCAGCTGAAATAAATTCCTTCCTGCTGTATTCGGTGTCCGAGAGATCCTTTCCCACGGCCGCTCCTGCTACATTTTTGGAGCATTGGCTGGGAAGCGACTCTCGGATAGCAGACGGTGGGAAAAAGTCTCTTAGGTGGTTTGCCTAGCCTTGTGGAGCATCCCTGTAGGGGGGACTCCTGCTCCCTGGGGTGATGCATCCTGAGAGAGCTCCTGGGCAGGTATTTGCCTGGTGGAAAAGCCTCACCAGAGAGGAGCAAGGAGGCTGTGCAGTGTTGATCCACCCAGTGGCTGACCACCGAGGAGGAACGAATATTTGGGGAAGTCTGGACACTGAATTTGGTGAGATTGAACCCGGGAAAGTAGCCCACCTCATTTTGGGTGGAAATGTGGCCTGAATCACCCACGGGTGCCAGATTGGCACTTCTGAAGGTGGCTCTCTCTGTAACCTTGGAAGCTTTTGCTTATGGTTTTGAATTGGAAAGAGCGCAATTGAATGTGTGTCTGTGTGTATAGATGGGTCTGACCGGACTCATCAGTCATAAAAGGTATCAGGTCCATTAGGAAGGTCCTCATGCGAGCAATTTGTAAGAATTAGACACAGCCACAGAAGGCTTGAGTGAAGAAGCCTCTGGGCATTGTAAAAGGATTGAAGTGAATAAATCGGAGAGTGCATCTTGCTAGGCGGGAACAGGAACTTCTGTGAGTGAACTAACACTCTCCCAACTGTGGGAATTTTCTTTGAAGTGTTTATATGGGTCATTTCCATAGCCATTCCACCCCTTTAGAAACCATGCTGAAAAATTTCAAAAAGGGATTTAGTGGGAATTATGAAGTAATTATGACACCAGAGAAATTAAGGGTTTTATGTAGGGAAGATTGGCCAGCACTTACGGTAGGTTGGCCCCCAGAGGGGACCCTAGACAGGTCCCTTGTCTCCAAAGTAAGGCATGAGGTTATAAACGGCGAGCTAGAACACCTCGATCAATTTCCATACATAGACTCGTGGTTGCAGTTAGTGTTAAACCCTCTGAAATGGCTAAGAGAGCAGGCAGCAACTGTTTTAGTAGCTAAGAGACAGACTGCTAGAAACCACCACCCCCTAGCCGCCGAGAAAAGTGGACTCCCAAGGCCTGGGCAGATTCAGTGGCAGAAACAATGGCTCCCAAGATTTTGGTTAACCCAGTGGCAGAAGAGTTTTTGTCGATAATGTCTCCTCCTCCTCAAGGACTCCCTGCCCCTGGGCCGGAGGCCTCAGCAACCCCACCAGAGCTGCACATCCCTAAAATCCTCCAGAGCAGACAAAAGAGAATGTAAAAAAACTCCGCCCATTGCTGCCCGCTTCCCAGAGGGAAGTCCACCTCTGGCAGCCCGTCTGCGACCCAAGGCCAGGGTTCAGATGCCTTTGAGAGAGCAGGGGTACACGGGAGTGGATGAGGACAGCCACATGGTAGAAAGACGTGTTTTCACGTACCTGCCATTCACCTCGGCTGATCTTATCAACTGGAAAAATAATAACCTGTCTTATACCGATAAACCCCAGGCTCTCATTGATCTACTGCAAACTATTATTCAGACTCATAACCCCATTTGGGCTGATTGCCATCAGCTGCTTATGCATCTTTTTTAACAAGGACGAAAGGCGGAGAATACTCCAAGCCACTTCTAATTGGCTGGAGGAGCATGTTCCTGCAGATTACCAGAACCCCCAAGAGTATGGAAAAAGGGGGGTTCCTGGAAAGCCCCCCAGTCTGCCCGCCTGGGCCTGCAATGCGATCAGTGTGCATTCTGTTGAGAAATAGGATGCTGGATGAAAAAATATCCACAGTTAACTGAGGAACAGGACGATCCTAAGCACGAGGATCCAAATGAGTGTGAAGGGGCTCTGTTCAATCTAATGGAAGGGCCACTGGAGTAAAAAAGAGAGAGGTGCTGGACTCATATACTCCCAAAGAGCCCATGGTCTGGACGACAGCCCTGTAACCCCCCATCGAGAGGAACAAAGCCAGTGTTGTTAAATCTATTAAGGTATTAAGAGAACAGACTTTCTTGTACTTAATGAATTGCCCTTGCCCCCCTTTTCCAACAAAACCTACTGTGCAAATCGAGGACCACTATCCCATTCAACAAAAGAGACAACCTGCAGCTGAAACTGCCTCAGTCGGGGGTCATCCAGGCTCTCACTGTCCCTTGGCAAGGAGGGTGGAGAGTTCCTAGCCAGAAGCAGAGGACTGATATTATCGCCCAGGCCAGTGCAGGGTTTGCGTGGCTTTGCACCCAACTTATACACACAGTTGGGATTATTCCCAGCAGCGGATAGTTGGTTCACCTAATTGGACTTAAAGAATACCTCCTTAGCATTCGACTGGCCTTGGAGGGTCAAAAACTATTTGCATTTCAATGGGAGAAACACAGAAGTAGGTGTAACCACTCAATACACCAGGACCCAGCTTCCCAGGGGCTCAGAAACTCTCCCATCATCGTTGGGGAGGCATCAGCCTGTGACCATCCCCCAGAAGTTTCTTGCTTGCATGCTGCACCTGTATGCTGATAACCTTCTATTGGGACACCCCACGGCAGTCGGGGGTGCAAACCAATGCCTTACTTTGGCACCTGGAGGACTGTGGGTATAAAGTGTCTAAAAGGAAAGCCCTGATTTGCCAAAAAGCAAATGCAATATCTGAGGCCCACCATCTGGAAGGGGGAACACAGCCCAGAAGCAGAGAGGAAGCAAGCCGCTTGCAAAGTAACAGAACCTGAGACTAAAAAGCAGGTGAGAGAGCTCCTGGGAGCGGTGGGTTTTGTAAATTGTAGATTTCCAAACTTTGCAGTACTGGCCAAACCCTTACACAAAGTGACAAAGGGGGGAGGGGAAAAGACAAGACACACTTTGAATGGGGCAAAAGCTAAAAGTGAAACTTCTGTTGGTCCTGGCTTTGGGGTTAGCCAATTTTAACACAGCCTTTTCATGCTGTCAAAAAGAAAAAAAAGGAAGAAGAAAAATGGCAATCAAAGATTCTAGCCTCAACTCTGGGAATAATTTAAATATCAAAGCAGCCCACACAGCGATGACTCTAATGAATACCAAAAGACCTCATTGGTAAGTCTGCCAAATACCAGGGCCTGCTATGTGCAGTGGTTGTACAAGCCATACATGAGACCACTCGTTTAGATCAAGAGTCACTTGAAAAGATGCTGGGTCAGTACTTTTACATCTTACACTTATCAGCCTTGACTAAAACTGTGGCACAGCGATGCATTCATTACATGTCGGCAACACAACATGAGGCAGGGTCCCAACCATTCTCCCGGGCATTCAAGCTTGCGGAGAAGCTCTGTTTAAAGATCTCCAGATAGACTTTACTGAAATGTCCAAGTGTGGAGGACATAAGTATTTGTTGGTCCTGGTGTGCACATACTCTGGGTGTGACTGAAAGGGCCCATGAATCCGTGTGCTGCTTCGATATCTTATCCCTAGGTTTGGACTGCCACTGCGCATCAGATCAGACAACTGACCAGCATTTGTGGAGGATTTAGTCCAGAAAACAGCAACAGCCTTGGGTATCACCTGGAAACTGCAGGCTGCCTACCAGCCTGAGTTCCGGAAAAGTGGAAAAATGAATCGGACCATCAAAAACAGCTTAGGGAAAGTGTGTCAGGAAACAAGATTAAAGTGGGTGCAGGCACTTCCCTTGGTGTTATTCAAAATTAGAGACACTCCCTTTAGGAAAAACAGGATATTCCCCTATTAAGTCTTATACCATAGGCCTCCTCCCCTACTCTGGGCACTCCTAGGAACTCCTTGGGAGTGGGGAGAGATTGAGTTAGGATGCTAGTTACTAGCCCTAGGGAGAATCGCTTAAGATGCTTCAACCTGAGTAAATAACAAATGTTCTGTAAGCCTTTTTCTGCTAGCTCACCCTTTCTCACTAGGTAATCATGTGTGGATAAAGGACAGGAGTACAGTCCCTCTAAAGCCACAATGGAAAGGACCTCAGACCTGATCCTGACCAATCCCACAGCTGTGAAGGTAGAAGGAATCCCAGCCTGAATCCACCACAGCCGTGTAAAAAACCAGCAACACCCGAGACTTGGACCAAGGCAAGGACTGCAGAATCACCCTAAAAAGGACAACAAGCCTTGCTCCAGCCACATCCTGGAAGCTGGCTGGTCCACGCACGGCTGAAGCATGAGGAAATTCATTGTGGGACTTGTTCTTAATATTTGGACTTGTACAGTAGGAGCATTAACTAATTTTAAAGAACGTCCTCAGTATGTACACCAGGTAAGGCATAAAGGTTACTGCCATTCTTTTGTCCTACAGTTCTTATAAACGTACGGGGACACAGAAGGGAACCTGTTTATATAATGGTACTCAATATAAGGTGTGTAATCCATGAGATGGACAGGTAGCTGTGTCATAGTCATCATTAAGCCCTCTTTCTTCCTATTATCTGTTAAGACAGGTGGGCTATTAATGTATTCAGTCTACTCCGCTAGAGAGAAAAAGAAACCTAAAGATAGGAGAATGGACAGATAAGTGGCCGCCGGAGAGACCTATTAAGTATTATGGGCTGACCACATGGGCAGAGGATGGCTCATAGGGATACCAGACCCCTATTTACATGCTCAACTGGATCATCCGGTTGTAGGCTGTTTTGGAAATACGAATGAAACGGGCAAAGCTCTATCCCATTTAGCCCAATAACAACAACAACAACAACAAAACTCAAATGAGAAATGTGATTTACCAGAACCGGCTGGCCCTAGATTATTTGCTAGCAGCCAGAGGAGGAGTCTGTGGAAAATTCAATCTAACCAACTGCTGTCTGCACATAGATGACCAGAGGCAAGCAGTGGAAGGTATTGTGGGAGACATGACCAAACTGGCACACGTACCTGTACAGGTATGGCATGGCTTTAACCCTGAGTCCTTATTTGGAGGTTGGTTTTCATCCTTGGGAGGATTCAAAACCCTCATTATAAGTGTTAAAATAGTAACAGGTGTTTGTTTGTTGCTCCCTTGTCTACTCCCCCTGTTCCTTCAGATGATTAGGGGCTTCACCACTACCGTAGTTAGCCAAAAATGACATCACAAGTGTATTATATGAAACATTATCAGTCAGTTTCTTCAGAAAATCTGGAAAGTGAGAATGAAAGTGAGACCTCTCACTGATATAAAATGGTGAGGGTCTCAAAGGGGGGGATGAGGAGAGAGACCCAGGCATTTGGGATTCCCTCACCCTCTGTCATCCACTGTGCAACTCAATAAAAGAGAGAGGGCATTAGTTGGGAAGGAATGAGATCCAGAGTTGGAATGGGATATATGGGAAGACCCTAAGGAAGCTGGGGACATTGAACCCCTAAATTTTAATGAATCTTTTCATTGCTTCTCTGCCTTTTGACTAAGATCAAGCGTAATTTTAATGAATCTTTTCTACCAGTGGAAGCAGCCTCCCCAACCCTAGCAAAAGTGGCCTCTTCACCCTCTTCTGAGGGCATTAACCTAAATGCAATGGGAGTAATTGGATCCTAGGGTGTCAGGGGCCAAGAGGTGGCACTCATCAGCCAAAGGTAAAATGAACATGGTTACTGTAATGGACAGCAGAGTCCAGGCAGCAATCAGAATAGTCTGACTCACACAGACCTATGGGACCCATGGCATTGGCTAGTTGATCATGGGTGCCTAGAAGTGAAACAAGAAGCCTGCTAAATTCTTACTTGATCTGTATAAGCAGAAAAGTTGTAAGTCAAGTGAACAAGTTTAACTGGAATAATTAAAAACAGAGTATTACAGCCTATCAATTAGTTTCCAGGCTTGGGTTTGAATGAAAGCTACACAACATGGCAGGAGCTGGGGCTGAGGCACAAGGAGCTTCGTGTGTGTCTTGACTAGTTTCACCTGATAATACCCTTCAGAAATTACGTAGAAAAAAAAGCTCACATGTAAATTGACTGGAATCAACAAAAGGAATCAACAATTATGAGGTGAAATACTTGTGTGACTACAAGGTAGTAAAGGATATAGAATGTTATCTTGTAAAATGGAAAGGATGGCCAGGTTCTACAAATACTTGGGAACCTTTGCAAAATCTCAAGTGTTGATTACTGCTTCAGCAATTCTCTAATGGCAAGCATTAATTATTTATCTCAGATAAAGAAAGGCAAAGCAATAACTCCAAAAGACAATAACAAAATTTTGAAACTTGCCATTGCTGAGTACATTGTAAAGAAGGCCCGGGGAGGATCCAAGATGGCTGATTAGGAGCAGCTCAGGATTGCAGCTTACAGCAAAAGCACGGAGGGTGAGTGGACACCGCATTTCCACATGGATTTTTATTGCCCACAGACCAGGAGAATTCCAGGCGGAGGAGCCCCATCGGTCGCCAGTGTGGCTGTTTTGGCCGGCGTGGTGGGTCTCTGCACAAAATACGTCGGTCCGGGTGCCATTTTAGCTGGCAACTGGAGCTCCTGGGAGACAAGCGTTGCCCATTCAACTGATAAAAAGGGGACCGAAACAGGGAGCCAGGCCAGGAGATTCCCGGGCAAAAAAGTGAAACGAATCTCTGCACGGCTGTTTCAGCCAGTGCAGTGGGTTGCTGCACGGGAAATCACACAGATCCCGGCACCTTTTCAACAGGCAACTGGAACGTCTGAGAGACAGTCGCCCATTCCACTGATAAAAGGGGATGGAAACAGGGAGCCAGGCCAGGAGATTCCCGGGTGATAAAGCACCACGAATCGCCAGTGCGGCTGTTTCAGCTGGTGCAGGGGGTCGCCGCTTGGGAAATTACACAGATCCAGGTGCTTTTTCAACAGGCGACTGGAAAGCCTAGGAGATAAGAGTCACTTGTTCAACTGAAAAAAAGGGACTGAAACAGGCAGCCAGGCCAGGAGATTCCCGGGCAAAAAAGCACCACAAGCCCCCAGTGAGGCTCTTTCACCTGGCTCGACGGGTCTCTGCACAAAATCTCACACAAATCCGGGCACCTTTTCAACTGGCAACTGGAATGCCTCGGAGACAGAGTTGCCCGTTCAACTGAAAAAAAGGGGACTGAAACAGGGAGCTAGGCCAGGAGATTCCCTGGCAAAAATGCACCACAAGTCTCCAGTGGCTGTTTCAGCCGGCGCAGCGGGTCTATGCACAAGAAATCACACAAATCCAGGCACCGTTTCAACTGGTGACTGGGACACCTGGGAGACAGAGTCGCCCATTTAACTGGAAAAAAAAAAAAAAAAAAAAAAAAAAGGTCTGAGGCAGGGAGCCAGGTGATCAGGCTCGGCTTGTCCCACCCCCAGAAAAAACAGCAATCTGAAACACTCTGGATTGAGAGTTTCACAGCAGCACAGCTGAACCCGGGACGTCCAGCTCTGTGGGAGAGGGGTGCCCACCATTACCGAGGCAGTCTACCACTGCCGAGGTAGTTTGCCATTGCTGAGGCAGTCCACCATTACAGAGAGTCTGCGATTACAGAGGTGGGCCGCCATTGCGAAGGCAGTTCTAACTATACCCCTATAAACAGGACTGCAGGGAAGATTACACGGCAGCTGGGCAGAGCCCACAGCAGCTCAGCAAAGCCTCTGCAGACTGTGACTAGGCTGCCTCCTCGCTGGGCAAGGCAGCCATGAAAAAAGGCATCAGCATGACAGAAACTTATAAATAAAGCCCTAACTCCCCAGGACAGAGCACCTGGGGGGAAAAAAAGGCGTTTTTGAGTTCTGCCGCAGCAGACTTAAATGTACCTGCCCAGCAGCTCTGAATGAACAATGGAGCTCACAGCTCAGCATCTGAGCTCCTATAAAGGCCAGACTATCTCCTCAAGCAGCTCCCTTACCCCCGTATATCCAAAGAGTCACCTCATAAACGAGAGCTCAGACTGACATCTGGCAGGTATCCCTGTGGGACAAAGACAGCAGAAGAAGAAACTGGCAGCAACCCTTACTGTTCTGCAGCCACTGCAGGTGATCCCCAGGCAAGTGGGGCCTGGAGTGGACCTCAGCAGTCCTACAGCAGAGGGGCCTGACTGGTAGAAGGAAAACTAAGAAACAGAAAGAAATAACTTCATCATCAACAGACTGGACGTCCACTCAGAGACCCCATCTGAAAGTCAACAACTACAAAGATGACAGGTGGATAAATCCACAAAGATGGGAAGAAACCAGCACAAAAAGGATGAAAATACCAGAAAGCAGAACGCTTCTCCTCCTCCAAGGGATCACAACTCCACACCAGCAAGGGAACAAGCCTGAATGGAGAATGAGTCTGATGATTTGACAGGAAAAGGCTTCAGAAGGTGGGTAAAAAGAAACTTCTGTGAGCTAAAAGAACATGTTCTAACCCAATGCAAAGAAACTATGAACCTTGAAAAAAGGTTTGACGAAATGCTAACGAGAATAAACAACTTAGAGAGGAATATAAGTGAATTGATGGGGCTGAAAAACACGAGAACTTTGTGAAGCATACACAAGTTTCAACAGCCAAACTGACCAAGCAGAAGAAAGGATATCAGAGGTCGAAGATCAACTCAATGAAATAAAACGAGAAGACAAGATTAGAGAAAAAAGGGTTAAAAGAAATGAACAGTCTCCAAGAAATATGGGACTATGTGAAAAGACCTAATCTATGTTTGACAGGTGTACCTGAATGTGACAGAGAGAATGAATCCAAGCTGGAAAATACTCTTCAGGATATAATCCAGGAAAGGGCCCACCTTCAGACTTAGACTTCTACTACACTAATGAAGCCAAACCAGTTCCTGGAATCAGCTTAGTCAAGGAAGCTATCTTTGGTTGCTCATTCACAGATTGCTTCTTTGAAAAATGCTGTCCTGCTAAAGCTAGAGTTCTTTTGGCTTATAATAAAAACCAACAAATTAAAATCCCACCTGGTATCAACATATATGAACGTAACTTAAGGTATCAATGTGGACCTCATTGTTCCAATAGGATTGTACAGAAAGGCATACAGTATTCGCTTTGCATCTGTCGAAATAGCAATGGCTGTAGCTGGGGTGTAAAGACCCTTGTGAAGATTAAAAGAATGAGTTTTGCCTTGAAATATGTTGGAGGAGTAATCACAAGTGAAGAAGCTGAAAAATGGGGACAGTTATATGATAAGGGAATCACATATCTCTTTGATCTGGACTATGAATCTAATGAATTCATGATGCATGCAGTTCAATACGGCAATGTATCTCATTTGTGAATCACAGTTGTGACCCAATGCTGGGGTCCATCCCACAGACTCCAGCTGAACGACAGATGAATCATGTACTCAAACACCGATATTCAGTGAAAGAATGGACTAGGAGGCCAGGCCACTGACTGAAAGCATTGTAGCAGCCGCACCCCACCACCAGCCAAGCTCACATTTGTTTAGTACAGATTAAATGACAAAGGTTTAGAGTAAATACCACTAGAAGGTAATTAACAACGCTGACCCCTCAAGTAGAAAGCAATCATGTACCCACAAATGGTCGAAGGATCACATCAGTAAACAAGATATTTAGATAAATTCCCTTACATTCCTTTGTTATTTACCCTTGCTATTACCTCAAACAGGATTAGGCTGCCTTCAGCTATAACTCTAGCCTGAGGCTTTTAGCAAACCTTCCAGCCTTCCAAGAAGATCTGTGCCTATTTTACAATTTCTCCTACCATCCTGCCTGAACACTTACATCTTCCCCTTTTCTGTTTTCTGCATCAGGCCTTACTGATTAAAGAGTGCAGATGTGTGCAGCAGCAGGTCTGTCAGGCATGGCAGTCATTGCTCTTGTTCCGGCTCTGTGTCCTAGAATTAGTAAATAACATAAGAGAATCATGAGTATAATTAGCAACATTCTTTTCCAGTCAAACAGTGACCTGTAATATTACTTGGTATCTCAGTTCACTGTATGCCATTAATGAGGAACCCCACAGGGTTATGTTAATTACTCCTAGCCAAGCAGTCATGTCGTTAGAAGCTGGGAAGGGGATGTAACAGGCAGCAAAAAGGCAGATTAGAAGATGGGTTTAATAGAGTGTAGCAGGTACAGGTGGTAGGCAGAGTGAGAGAATAAAAAAGGAATAAGTTATCTGGAGTGAATGGTGTCTGCATCCAGAGTAGGATTCACTTTGCCTTTTGAGTTCTCTTCTTCAGCATCCCCCAGGTAATGTCCAGGGCTTGCGTTGTTCATGGAAACCACATTTTCTGGGGCTATGGGTCCTGTAGGGTCTTTCCTATCATGGCTTCAGTTTTTTCTTCTTTCCATCCTTTGATGAGGACGTAGTCTCCAAGCTGGTGGTGGTGTACTGGAAATTCTAGGGGTGGTGCCTGTGCTAAGAGAACTGTTATAATCTTTGTTAAAGAGTCAGTTAGTGCTTTAAGAAAAACCTGTTATGCTTTAATGTTTAGTTTACAGAAGAACTGGATAATACTTCTTTAACTTAATATGTTTACACATAGAATTTCTCTAATTAACATTTTAAAACTTGCTTAGACCTTCGAAACAAAAATTACACATTTCTTGAACATTTTTCATGACTTTCGCAATCTTCAACACGCCTTTTCAGTGTTTTATAAGCTTCCTTACTAAAGGTGCATTCTTATACCTATAACTTTAATATTTCTTTCTCTTCTACTTTCTCTCCTTTGTCTTACTTTTTGTGTCTCTCATCTCTGTCTCTTCTAGGCTGTTGCTTACTCATTCCCTCTATTTCTCTCTCCAATCTTTCTGTTTCTGTCTGATCTTGGAAGCTAAGCACGGTCGGGTCTGGTTAGTACTTGGATGGGAGACCACCTGGGAATATCAGGTGCTCTCAGGTCAGTTTCTTCATTTCTGGTACCAGGCTGGGTCCTACCCGTGCTATGGTATGGTTTGATGCATCATGCTGGAATCCAAAGAGGAAATGACGGGGTCTGAACACAAGCATATCCTCCTCCCCATGTTAGTAAATAATTTGGACCACATCATACATTACTGTTTACATCTTTCCATAAAACTGCAGGTTTTATGTCTTCAGAGGTTTTAGCAAATTGCTTTTCTACAGCTGATTGAAATTTATCATCTAAATTTTAAAAATTAAAGGTATATAAGGCTTGTTCCAATAGTCTTGCACGGTCCTTACCCATACTCCCCTTTTGTGTTTTGAGCATATTTTTAAGGGTGGAGTGGGCACATTCTACTATGGCCTGTCCTTGGGGGTCATATGGGATGCCTTGTGGAATGTTGGATGTTCCATGTGTGATAAAATTGTTGAAATTGTGAGCTGGCATAGTAAGTCGGACCATTATCAGTTTTCATTTTTGTGGGCTGCCCCATAAATGCAAAAGTTAAAAGAAGATGCTTAATAACATATTAGATGGACTCTCCAGGAAAAGCATGAGTGCTAATTAAATGTGAACTGGTAGCAATGAATACATGTACATATCTGTTTTCTAAATTCAGGGATGTATGTAATATCTATTTGCCATAACTGATTAGGTTCTAGTCCTCTAGGGTTAACACCTGTTGAAGGAGGGAATGTGCCTGTTAGCTGGCAATCTGGGAATTGTAAGATAATATGTTTAGCTATTCTTTGAGTAAGTTGAAACTGTTTAGATAAGTTTCTCCAATTTTGGTGGAAAAACTGATGCAACTGGGTGGCTTGGTCAAGCAGTGATGTGATAACCTGAAGCAGTGATAACCTGAAGTTCTGCTTGTTCACTGCCATAAGCCAATGGGCCAGGCAGTGAGCAGTGGGCTCAAATATGTGTGATAAAAATAGGATGTGTGCATTGATCCAGCAATTGCTGAAGTTGAAGAAAAAGTGCACACAGGGTGGGCTCAGGCGTAGAGTTTATGAGGGATGTTTGAAGGTTCTGCAAAACAGAGTAAGCAGAGTCACTAACAATGTTAATTGGCAGAGTGGAAAAAGTTTCCAAGGCCAATATCAGGGCCCCAATCTCAGCTGAGTCCAGGTCAATGAGAAAATTATGTGGTCTCCACCAGACTGCAGCTTTTCCATGTTTACCCAAACCATCATTAAACAGTGTTAAAGCATTAAGTATGGGGGAGTGAACTATTTTTGTAGGTAAGATTATCAAAAATATGAGATAAGAACTAAAGGAGTTTATCAGCAGGAAGGGCATTCTCTATTTGACCTGTGTAATTGGAGAGTGCTATTTGCCAATCTAATTATAGGGGCAAAGCTGCTTCGAATAGCTTTTTACTCAAAGGAATCCTGATGATATCAGGATCATAACCTAGAAACATTGCATCGTCTACAGCCTGAATACATGACTTTACTGATTAACTGGATATAGGGAGATAATGTTTTAGTCCCGGTAGGTGAGCAAAAAACTCATTCTAGAAAGAACAGTTCTGGGGTCATCTATCCTATTAACTCTGTAAGGGAGTGTTTGGTGGAAAAAACAAACAATTGAATACAGTGGATGGATGTGATCTAGTTGCCTTTGAGAGATAGCTTGTTGTATTTCCTCAATTTCTCTTTGCTGCAGGGGTTAAATATTTGGGAGAATCCAGAGCTGTATTGCCCTTTAAGACAGAAAACAAGTTTTACAACTTATAAGTAGTTATGTCCTTAACGAACTCATGGGCTTGTTGCAATTTCTCTCCCTTTAGAGGCTATTTTTCTACCAAATTGGATTTTGAAAGAGCCACGTAGGGGTAGGTTTGGAATAACAACAGTGGCCATTGTTATAAAGGGGTCTTACAAATTCTAAAATTTTACTTAAATCTTAGCAGAGAATTATAATCTGGGACATTGCTTGTAAACAAGGAACATACAAAATTTTGCTATAGGCCACCCACAAAGCCAGAGGGCAGCAGTCCTGGGATGGTGGCCACGTCGCACTTGCCTGGGACCTGCCTTTTGTCTGTTCTGCTTTTTGTTTGCACTGCTCCCTCCTCCCTCCGCTGGGTGGCTGCTGCCAGCCTGGGCAGTTCCTATTGGCCTGGGGTGCCGCGAGCTTCCTTGCCACTGAGCCTTGTCTTCTGCCCACTTGGCCATGCAGTTTTGGCCTCTAATGCCTTTTTTCTTATCTTTTTATTTTTTATTTTTATTTATTTATTTAGAGACGGAGTTTCGCTCTTGTTACCCAGGCTGGAGTGCAATGGCGCGATCTCGGCTCACCGCAACCTCCGCCTCCTGGGTTCAGGCAATTCTCCTGCCTCAGCCTCCTGAGTAGCTGGGATTACAGGCACGCGCCACCATGCCCAGCTAATTTTTTGTAGTTTTAGTAGAGACAGGGTTTCACCATGTTGACCAGGATGGTCTCGATCTCTTGACCTCGTGATCCACCCGCCTCGGCCTCCCAAAGTGCTGGGATTACAGGCGTGAGCCACCGCGCCCGGCCTCTTATCTTTTTATAAGCGTGCACCCGATTATTTGTTGATCTTGCATTATTACCAGGCAAGCTAAAAGCTCCTCTTCTAATGCCTTAAGTCAAGGTCCCAGCTGTAGCGTATCCCTTGTCTTTTCTCCTATCTATTGGAGGAGGGGGCTCAGGCAAAACCTGTCGTTTCCTTTTTGTTATTTTGGCCCAGTGATAGTGGGACTGAGGGACTCGGGGGTGGTGAGGTAGGTGACGATTCTCCCTCTTTCCCCTTTTTAGGCTCTTCTGTGTATAATGGGACCAGAGTACTGGGGCCCATTGCCCTTGAGCATGTTGTTGTTTAAGAGTTCTTCCCATTTGTTTCCAGAGCTTGATGTCTAGTATGCCTTCTACTGGGAACCATGGGTTATGGAAGACAACAGTTTGCATTAGGTCCATTAATTGAGCCTGTGAAACCGAGGCTCCACTGGCTTTAAGCAGCTGTTTCAATACTTTTATGTACTGTTTCTGTTGAGCTGATTACTGTTGTCCCATGATGAAACCCTAGCCTGAACAATCCCCCCAAAGTTGGAAATCCCAAGTGGGTGCCAATGAAGTACTGACTCACTGACTGCACAGTCATTTTCACCTCCTTTTTTGGGGGTTCCATGGCAATGCTTTGTAGCATTTATCACATCAGGGTCACCACCTGCCAGGGTCCATCCTACATACCCCAGCTGCACGACAGATGAATAATGTATGCAAACACCAGTATTCAGTGATGAATAATGTCTGCAAATGCTGGTATTCCATGAAAGAGTTAACTAGGAGGCCAGGCTACTGGCTGAAAGACTTGTAGCAACCGTGCCCGATCCACCAGCCAAGCATGCATTTATTTGGTACACATTAAATGACAAAGGTTTAAACACCACTAGAAGGTAATTAACAATGCAGACCCCCCCTCCACTCACTGCCCAGTAGAAAGCAATTATGCACCCCCAGATGGTCAAAGGTTAGTCTTAGGACCACGTGAATAAAGAAACTATTTAGAGATGCTCCCTTACATTCCTTTGTTATTTACCCTTGCTATTAGCTCAAAGAGGATTAGGCTGCCTTCAGCCATAACTCTATTCTGAGGCTTCTGCAAAACACTCCAGCCTTCCAAGAAGGTTTGTGTCTATTTTACAATTTCTCCCACCATCCTGACTGAACCCCTACAACCCAATCTTCAGGTATTCAATATTTTCACTGATAACCTTGATACTGGTACAGCTCCTATGAGTGGAGGAACACAAGGATTCTTGGTCCTTGCGCCAGTTTAGATAAAATGACATGGACATATGTGGAGTTTTAAGGAGTGGAGAGTTCAATAGGCAAGAAGGGAGAAGGAAGCTCCCCTGTACAGAGACAGAGGGGGGCTCCAAAGCTGAGAGAGGGAACCCCACCTGTCACAGATACCAACTAGGTATATATACAGAGGCTGGAAGAGGTCATGTCTGATTTGCATAGGGCTCAGGGGATTGGTTTGACTAGGCATGTCATTCACATAGCCTGTGAAAAAGCTAGCCCTCCCATCCTAGCCTTCTAATGTGTAAATGCAGGGCACCATGATGTGCAACACACATGGGGATATATGGGGGTGGCCATGTTGCCAGGAACATGTGGGGACAGGGCAAGGAGGCCATGGAAATTGCCATGTTTGGGTGGACCCAGTTTCTAATGGCTTGCATTTGCATATCAAAGGTTGCAACCCAGGCTCTAAGAGCCGGGGCTTTACAAGAAAGTTTTTGGGAGATGCTTTAAAAAATGAAAACTTCTCAAGGCCCCCTTTTCCTCTCTATCTGCCTAAAATAATTTCTTAACTCTTACAACAATACTCGTCTTCCCTGAATTGCACTGTTTTCCACAAGAACCATAATTGCTGGAGAAAAGCTGACTTATGATTATCAAATGAAAGTGTGACATGGTAAATGCCCCATAAACTGCATACCTCGACCATACCTCGGCTTTCCATTGAAACTTCTCTCTGTTACCCTAATGTGACAGGCAAGCAGTCAACCAATGCCATTTTGGTCCATTTTAAGACTTGTTATACATAACTAAGGTCTGTTATTTCCACCCTACCCAGACAATGTGTAAACTAATGCTTATGTTGACTTCTGTAAACGACTTAAAACAATCAGAATGTCCAAAGTCCCCTGGCCCTCAGAATGTCCAAAGCCCCTCACCCCTGGCCCCACCCAGGAGGTGGTTTACGAGCATAAAAGGTCTTGACACCCTCCTTTCAGGGCCACCGGTTAGAGAGACATGAGTCTTCCATGGCCGTCGGCAATAAAGAACTTGTAATTTAGCCTAGTCTTTGTCTCAGTGGTGATTTCGCGCTCGCTCGGTTACAACATTTGAAGGCCCCAGCGAGATTTTCCATCATCACTCAGACAAAATCCCTGAGGCTGCTCCCGCCCTGGGGATCTCTAGGGGAGGCGCCCCCCTGAGACATTCCAGGGCCCCAGAGTTCCAGCCCCGTGATGGACCAGCGACTACTCAGCTGACATGCACCTGAAATTCCTCAGGATCACGGGAACCTCCGGAGGTAAGTCGGGTCTGGAAATCGGGGGGGCCGGTCCATCAGGAGCCTAGGTCAGGAGACCGGACACCGTCATTAATCTCTGACGAGGCAAGCCTACCATGAGATGTCACTGGAGGCTCAGGTAATTCAGTTTTCAGTTGTCTTCCATAACCTCTGTGTGAGTGTGAGAGTGAAAGTGTGTATGTGTGGTCCCACGGCCAGAGAGCTACGGGGCCTGTGTGGGCCTTCACCCACGGTTCCACGGAGATGTCATAGAGCATAACGGTGATTCACCTCCATGCTGACCAGGCCCGGGGCTTGTACGGGTACACCTTAGCCAAGACGCTCTGAAAAATCCCTTCGGGGATGTGGCTGGGCAGGCATCAGACTGGTCTCCCACGGGGACACCCGCCCTGTGTCTGTCTTCCTTCCATAGTCTTGTCTTCCTTCTATGTGGTCCTGTCTTCTTCGTAGGTTTTCTAGTTTTTTAAGACATTTAGTGGCAGACCTACAGTGGTTTAATCCTGCCTCTCTGGGGCTGGATGATGTCCTTAACTGGTTAAATGACCACTGGCTTCAGGGAAATTTGGCCGAATTTTGGCCCCTAGAAATAACCCTGTTTTCCTTCTTCTTCTTCTTGTTCTACCACTGAAGGCCTATTCTCCTTTCCTGCTCCTCTTCTAATGTCTGAAAGGAAATTCTGTCCTCGGCGGCTCGGATGTAGTTTTTTCTCCATCCTTGGGAGCCAGGCGCTAGGAAAGGAATTACTGAGCCTTTTTGCCTGCCTAGGATCGAAAAGGAGTCATTTCCTCTTTTGCCAAAGGGAGGTTCAGAGTTGCTACAGAACTTGTTCTGGTACACACCCCAATTCGGCGTTCCGGCACCATACTGACTGTTGGGAAGTGGGTTGCCACGGCACAATACAAACTGATTGGCAAGAGTTATGCGATCTCTTTAAGACGTGGTGGATTCAAAATTCACACCCAGTGGACCTTCTGGTCTACCTGTTCTGCCATTTGCCAACATTCCCCAGGCCTCTCAATATCAGAGCACATCCCAGGGAGGACCACACCCGAGTTGCGTTGAGCCTCTATGAGGCCTATCATCGGCCCTTGTGGTATGGTTCAGGGGAATCCTATACCCTCCCTTGGCACCTTCTGCCCGCTCCCTTACCTCAGGCCAGGGACAGACCCATTAAGCTAGGCATCCTCTCATTACAAGATTTGGCAACTGAGGCCTGTTTAAAGCCAGTACTGGAAAGGGCGAAGCACGAGTATAGCGCCTTCCACAACTGGAAATATCCTAAGAGCAGGAGAACCTAAGTGACCACCACAAGTAGACTGAAAAAGAGGCAGAACAGATGGGGTCGTCTGGTTCCCAGCCCTGCACCCCCCTCCAGTGCATGATGGTCAATTTCAAGGCTGGATTTTCAGGCCAATATGGGGTAAAACTAGCCCCCCAAAAACTTCACATCTTGTGTAAATTGGAGTGGCCATCGTTTGGGGTGGGATCCAGACACCAGGACATATGATCCCAAGGTGATCCAGGCTATATGGAATGTGGTGACAGGTTCCCCTGGACACCCAGATCAGTTTCCATACATTGACCAGTGGTTAGACTTAGTTCAGCAGCCCCCTCTTGGCTTAAACACTGCATAAAGCATGCTGGGTTACAAGTTATGCTGGCAGGCCCTAAGAAAGCCCCTTCTGCGCCAGCCATTCTTCCCTCCCCAGCAGAGTATCAGGAATTACCTACACCCTACTCAAGGCCCTCTGAACTGGGGCCTCAGCACTGCCCCCCAGACAGCACCAGCGGCCAGCCCCTGTCCCCCCTACACACCCGTAGTGGGGCTCCCCACTCCCCCGCTGTCCTTCCTCTCCAAGAGGTGCCCCCAACGGGAGGAGACAATCGGGGTTGCCCATTCTTTGTTCACATCCCCTTCTCGTCAAGTGACTTATATAACTGGAAGGCTCAACATCCCGTTCTCTGAGAAGCCCCAGGCTTTGACAGGGCTCTTGGAATCTGTACTCCAGACTCATCGCCCCACTTGGGATGACTGCCAACAATTATTACTGATTCTGTTCACCACAGAGGAAAGAGGCAGAATTAGACAGGAAGCCCTGAAAGCCATCATAGGTCCAGGGGGAGGAACAGTAGAAGAGAACCAGGACCGAATTGAAGAGGTTTTTCCCTCTACCCGATCCCAATGGGACTCCAACACCTTGGGGGGTCGCTCGTCTCTAAACACTTTTCACCGGTATCTTTTAGCAGTGGTTAAGGGGGCAGCTAGGAGGCCCATCAACCTCTCCAAGGTAGGAACAGTGACTCAGGGCCCGCAGGAGTTGCCAGCTGCTTTCCTGAAACACCTAGAAGAGGCGTACCGTACCTATACTCCTATAGACCCCGAGGCCCCAGAAAATCAATGGACCATTAACTTGGCCTTTGTTTCCCAGTCAGCCCCATATATCAGGAAAAAGTTATAAAAACTAAATGGATTCCAGGGGATGAATTTGACCCAATTGCTAGAAATTGCCCAGAAGGTTTTTGATTAACAGGGATACTCCTGGAGCCATACAAGACAAAAACGTTACTAAGGCAGTAATAGCAGCCCTTCAGGAAACATGAGTCATTCTATGAGGGCAGGGGGCCTTGCAAAAGGACCCTTGGGGTCCTCCGCCCCCGTTATAGGAAGAAATCAATGTGTGTACTGTAAACAAGAGGGACGCTGGAAAAATGAGTGCCCCGAGAGAAAAAGCCAAGTAACCGCTCAGGAAAAACCACTGAGGATATCAATTTAGAAGGTCAGGACTGAGGGGGCCGGGGCTCTTATCTGTGAAGCCCCCAGGAGCCCAGGGTTACTTTAAAGATTGGGGGCAAACCTAACAGTTTTTTAGTGGACAGCGGGGCAGCCCACTCAGCCCTTACTCAGACTCTGGGACCAACTATCCAGTCAACCAGGGGGCCACAGGAAAGACCACAACAAGTTCACAGACCACAAATCGAATCGCTGACTTAGGAAACGGCACCATTACCCTTTCCTTCTTAGTTCTTCCAGAATGCCCTTACCCGCTATTAGGGCGGGACCTACTTCACGAACTTCGAGCAACCATCTCCTTCTGTGAAAATCAGGCCTGCCTCTCTATCCCTGCTTTGCCCCCTGTATCGAAAGCACCTCAGCAAATCCTCATCACTTGTGCTCTGTCAGACGAGTATCTGTTGCAGAAGCTTTATCACTGGAAACAAGTCAAGCATCAACGTCAGACCTCCTCCGCCAATTCCAGAAGAGTGTACCTGGAGTGTGGGCTGAGACCAATCCCCCAGGTCTGGCAGAACACCATACCCTGGTTGTGGTCCAAATGTTGGCGATGGCAGCTCTGGTCCAGGTATGACAATACCCAGTGAGTCAGGAAGCCAGGCGGGGAAATCGCTCCGCATATAACAAGACATAACAATTCCTGGAAGGAGGAATTCTCACCACCTACCTGTAAGTCACTCTGGAACACCCCTCTGCTCCCTGTTCTAAAACCTAGCACAAAGGATTACCAGTCAGTACAGGACTTAAGGGAAGTAAATAAAAGAGTGGAAACTGTCCACCCCACGGTCCCAAATCCATATACCCTCCTAAGCCTCCTGAATCCGAACCACCATTACTATATTGTCCTGGACCTCAAGGATGCATTCTTTTGCATCCCACTGGCCCCAGTCAGCAGACCCATATTTGCCTTTGAGTGGACGGACCTGGACACTGGGGTCCTGGGGCAACTCACATGGACCCGGCTGCCTCAGGCATTCAAGAACTCTCCCACCCTATTTGATGAAGCACTTAGCCAGGATCTTGCCACCTTCCGGGCCGAGTTCCCTGAATGTACTCTGCTCTAATACACAGATGACTTACTTCTGGCCTCAAGAACCCAAGAGGCCTGCAGGGAAGCCACCCAGTCATTACTGTTGACCCTACAAACTCTGGGATATCGAGTCTCTGCCAAAAAGGCCCAACTCTGTCAACAAAAGGTTACTTACCTGGGCTATATAATTAAAAAGGGCAACCGGGCGCTGGCAACCAGCCGAGTCTAAGCAGTACTACAGATACCCACCCCTACCACAAAACACCAAGTTCAGGAGTTCCTGGGGGCAGTAGGGTTCTGTAGGCTATGGATTTTAGGTTTTGCCAAAACAGCCAGGCCTCTGTATGCCTGCAGAGGAGGGAATCAACCCCTAATTTGGATAGTAGTAGAACAACAGGCTTTTGATAAAGTTGCTCTGACCTCGGCCCCAGTCCTGGCCTTGCCAGATATTTGTAAACCCTTCTGGTTGTTTGTATATGAAACACAAGGAATCGCGAAGGGGGTGCTCACCCAGACATCAGGACCATGGTCCAGGCCGGTCACCTACCTATCAAAAAGACTTGATCCTGTAGCCTCTGGGTGGCCAGCCTGCCTCAGTCCATGGCAGCAACAGCCCTGTTGGCAAAGGAGGCGGACAAACTGACTCTGGGGCAGACATTAAACCTAGTGGCATCCCATGCAGTAGAATCACTACTCCGCAGGGCTCCAGGAAGGTGGATGTCTAATGCCTGCATAGTACAGTATCAGGCTCTACTCCTGGACCAGCCTGGCATCAAGTTCCTCAAGACTACAGCCCTGAATCTGGCCACACTGCTGCCTAATAAGCAAGCCAGGAGGACCCACAGATGACTGTCAACAGATAATAGATGTCATCTAAACTGCTCGGCTGGACCTCACCGACATCCCCTTACGGAACCTGGAAGAGGTACTATATATGGATGGCAGCAGTTTTACAGTCAACGGAGTCAGGTATGCGGGGGCAGCCATAGTCACCCAGCGTAGGTCATCTGGGCCCAGGCCCTTCCTCATGGGACTTCAGCCCAAAAAGCTGAACTTATAGCCCTGATAAAAGCCTTGAACTGGGCAGAGGGAAAGACTGTCACTATTTATACCAACAGCCATTATGCCTTTGCTACAGCTCATGTACATGGAGCAATATATAAAGAAAGAGGACTACCTACCTCAGAAGGAAAAGCTATTAAAAATAAGGAGAAAATTCTAGCCCTTTTGGAGGCTATATGGAAGCCCAAGACTGTGGCACTAGTCCACTGCAAGGGACACCAAAAGGGGGATTCACTAGATTCACCAGGGGAAACAGGGCTGCTGACTTACAGGCCGGGCAGGTAGCCATAGGGCCAGTGAAACCACAGACCCTCCTTGTAACCCTGCCTGCCCCAGTTCTGCCCCCTACTCCCACGTGCTCCTCAGGTGAGAAGGACTTTGCAAAGGAACAGGGTGCCACACAGGACTCCGCAGGATGGTGGATACTGCCAGACCAAAGGATTGTGGTCCCCGAGGCTCTAGGACGGGCCCTAGTTAAAGACACACACCAGGCCACTCAGGACAGACCAAGCTAACTGAACTGCTAAAAGCCAAGTACTACATTCCCCATTTACATGAACTTACAAAGGAAATCACTACTCAGTATAACGTATGTGCCCAAGTAAATCCGGGAGGGAACAGGTCTAGCCAGGTAGAAGTGAAGCTCAGAGGGACTAGCCCTGGGAAGCACCAGGAGGTAGATTTCACTGAAATAAAACCCCCAGTAAATGGCTATACATACCTCCTTGTGTTTATAGATACGTTCTCTGGATGGGTCAAGGCCTTCCCCACTAAGTCTGAGACTGCTTTGGTGGTCACAAAAAACTATTACAGGACCTTGTTCCTCAGTTCAGCCTCCCTCTAACACTGGGGTCAGACAATGGGCCCGCCTTTACTGCACAAATTTCTCAGGGCCTACCCAAGGCCCTGGATATATCCTGGAAATTATACTGTGCCTATCTTCCCCAGAGTTCAGGACAAGTTGAACGAATGAACCGGACCCTAAAGGAAACCCTGACAAATTTTATCCTAGAGACCGGTGAAAACTGGGTCAGGCTGCTTCCTTTTGCCGTCCTCCGCGTCCAATGCACACCCTATCAGAAAGACTTCTTCCCTTTGAAATCATGTTTGGGAGGCCCCCTCCTTTACTCCCCAGACCTGCGGATACCATGCATGTTGAAGTCCATAACTATACACTCCTTAAGTCCTTACAGGCGCTCCCAGGTACACCAACTCATTAAGGACAACCATCTCACCCCATTGGACCTCGCAGACCAGCCGACACACCCCTTCCAGCCTGGAGACTCTGTCCTTGTTAAAAGATTTGCCACCTCCGGCCTCACCCCCACATTGGAAGGGACCCTACACGGTTATCCTAACCATGCCCACTGAACTCAAGGTGGACTGGATTCATCACACCCACGTCAAGACTGCCCCACTGGAAAGACAATAGAGCATCAACCATTCCTTCCCTGATTCAATAAAGCTAAGACTTGTGCGCTCTTCGGGGTCACCACCCTCGAGACCCTAATCCATGCTATAAATCCCCATGGCAAACCCCCCTTAGAACCCACCTACGATCAATGGGTCCTCACCAAGGGCTCCACTGGAGGATATGTTCGTTCCTTAATCGGAAAGGGATCCACCCTAGTCAACCTAACCCTGGAGTACACTCCGAAGACCCCCATTATCTTTTCCCTAGACCTCTGTGCCCTCCTGGGCCCGCTCCTGATGCCAAACGTAGATCCTAGGACAAAAGATATTATAGCCAGGTATGGCAGCGCAAGGGAAGAGCAACAACTTCAACCTTATGGATTATATCTGTGCCCAGGATCCACCCCACAAAAAAGATGGAACTGTGGAGACTTAAATGAATTATTTTGCCCCCACTGGGGTTGTGAAACTATCTCCACTATATCAGGGTACAGCAAAAACATAGACTCCTTCATCTCTTTTAACCGAGATTCTCCCCTATCCCCATGCTACACCAGGTCTTGTAACCCACTCAGGATAACTGTAACTACCCCAGATGGTAGGTGGACAATGGGGCGAACCTGGGGTCTCAGGGTATATATGAGTGGGTGGGACACTTACCATCCAGCATATAACCCTGCCCCGACCCAACCGCCCTATGGGACCCATTGCCCAGGTCATACAACAAGAAGCCCCCCCTAAAAATATCCCCTAAAAGCCCCCTCATCCAGACAAGCAATGCTGCCCCCTCAACAACCTTCCCCTACAACCCCAACTCTGCTCAAAGAAGACACAACCCTGCTAACCTTGTTGTCCTCAGCTCACCACCTCCTCAACAAATCTAACCCAGATTTAGGGAAAGACTGTTGGCTCTATCTAAACCCTCAACCACTGTTTTATACCGGGTTGACTTCCCAATTACCTGCCAACTTGTCCATTTCTTCATGTTCCCAGTCCACACTCCATTTAACCCTGGGAGACATAGAAGGGTCTGGGCACTGCTACCACTCCCCAAATTACACCCTTGTAGGTTCTCCCTATGGACACTATTGTAATGTCTCCCATAATGGAAGCTTTAATGGTACAAACCTTTACTATCGGGCCCCAGATACCACTTGGTTAGCCTGCACCTTTGGCCTCCCCAACTGCATTTCCACATACCAATTCAATGGCTCTACTGCCATACTGTGCAGCCCGGTACACATCCTCCCAAGAGTAAACATTTATGACGGCCAACAGGGACTTAATCTCCTGGCCCCCTCAGATGTTATTACTGACTGATGGAAGTGAGTCCCTATTGTCATTCCTCTACTAGTTGGATTAGGTATTGCTGGCTTCACCGCAGTTGAAATATCAGCTCTTCTAGCTGGGGACCAAAATTTTAAAACTCTCTCTTAGCACACAGATACTGATTTAAGCCACTTAGAAAACTCCATTTCCCAACTCACTGATCAGGCTGAGTCTTTGACTGAAATGGTCCTCCAAAACAGGCGAGGACCAGATTTGTTATTGTTAAAACAAGGGGGGTTATATGCCGCCCTTAATGAACAATGTTGCTTCTATGCTAATAGGTCAGGCCTCATCTGAGAGAGCCTCTCCCTGGTCAGATGAAATCTCGAAACCAGGAAACAACTTCCAGAGGCTTCAGAAAGTTGGTATCAAAAAATGTTTTCCTGGTCCCCTTGGCTCACTTCCCTCCTCATGGGTCTGGTGGGACCTCCAGCCCTACTCCTACTGGGACTCATGTTTGGCCCCTGCCTCCTAAATCAACTCCTCAGGTTCATTAAATCTAGGGTAAACTCTGTAAAATTAATGATATTAAGGTCTCAATATGGGCCCTTAGAACAAACAAACAATACTGACCTGCTGGAGGAATCAATGATTTAATTTCTGTAAATAAAACAAGGGGGGAATGTGACATGGTAAATGCCCCATAAACTGCATACCTCGACCATACCTTGGCTTTCCATTGAAACTGCTCTCTGTAACCCTAATGTGACAGGCAAGCAGTCCAAATCAATGCCACTTGGTCCCTGCGCCATTTTAAGACTTGTAATAAGTAACTAAGGTCTGTAATTTCCACCCTAACCAGCAATGTGTAAACTAACGCTTATCTTGACTTCTGTAAACCACTTAAGTTAACAATCAGAATGTCCAAAGTCCCCTGGCCCTCAGAATGTCCAAAGCCCCTCACCCTTAACCCTGCCCAGGAGGTGGTTTACAGAATGTCCAAAGCCCCCTGGCCCTTGGAATGTCCGAAACCCCTTGCCCCCACCCCCACTCAGGAGGTGGTTTACGAGCATAAAAGGTCTTGACACCCTCCTTTCGGGACCACGGGTTAGAGAGACACGAGTCCTCCATGGCCGCCAGCAACAAAGACCCTGTAATTTGGCCTAGTCTTTGTCTCAGTGGTGATTTTGTGCTCACTCAGTTACCAACGAAAGGTTCTGGTGATATATCTTCTGATTCTATTGACCACAACCCAGCCAAAAAGAGGGTCAGAACTGTATGTAAATGTGGAGCTGTGACTTGCAGAGGTCACCTCAACTGAATTTTCAAGAAATAGAGCTGATGATAACTATAATTTGTTTTTTTCTCCTAAGGTTAAATTTTTAAAAATACATATTTGGGACTCTCATTATCAAGACTGTACTTATGTCAATTTACAATTCATGATTCTAGATATTTGCCAAATGCATTACTAATTCCTCTGAAGAGAGGGCCACTGGAAGGCAAACTATTTACAGCTCAGTATGTACGTACTTAAGTCTGTGTGAACAGAGAAATGCCTCCTGCAGTGTTTGAAAGTGTTAAGCTGATAATGTAACTAACAACTGCTGAGAGAACAAACATTCAACTTGCCATACACCTCAAATTTGGAGAATTAGAGTTAATTTGGGCAAATCTACAAGTTTTTGTTGCCATATTGTCATTCCTGTTTAATATTCACTGTACTTGTATTTGAGACAAATAGGTGATACTGAATTTTATACTCTATTTTCTACTTTTTCATTAAAACATTGGCATCTTAATGATATAGAAATTTAAGGCATAAAATGAAATAAAAACATTTCAGTTTTATTTCATATTTTGAGGCAACT